ACCCCCCCCCCCTCCCCCCCGGCTCCCCCCCCCCCCCCCCCCCCCCCCGGGCCTCCCCCCCCGGGCCTCCCCCCCCCTCCCCCCGGGCCTCCCCCCCCTCCCCCGGGCCTCCTCCCCGCAATGGCGTTTAATCAACGGATTTTTTTTTCTCGAACAAAAACGATGGCCCCCGAAAGCGGTTCAGTACCTCCCACTCAACCACAGGGACACGTCTCCGGGTTTCACGGTATTTGGAGAAAAACTGTATGTGCCCCCACACCCCACACCACACACACACCCCCACACCACACCCCACACCCCCCACACACACACCAACAACCCCCACACCCCACACCCCCCACACACACACCCCCCCCACACCCCACACCCCCACACACACCCCCCACACCCACCCCCCCCCACACACACACCCCACACACACCCCCACACACACACACACACACACACCCCCCACACCCCACCCCACACCCCACACACACACACACCCCACACACACACACACACACCCCCACCACCCACCCACACCCCACCACACACACACACACACCCCACACCCCCCACACCCCACACACACACACCCCCCACCACACACACACACCCCCACACACCCACCCCACACCCCACCCCCCACACACACACCCCCACACCCCCCCACACACCCCCATACCCCACCCCCCCCCCCACACACACACACACACCCCACACCCCCCCCCCCACACACACCGCCCACACCCCCACACACACCCCCCCACCCCACACATACAACCCCCCCACACACACACACACCCCACCCCCCACACATACAACCCCCCCCCACACACACACACCCCCACACACACACCCCCACATACACACACCCCCACACACACAACCCCCACACACACCACCCTCCCACCACACACACACCTCACACACACACCCCCCACCCCCCACACACACACCCCCACCCCCACCACACACACCCCCCCCCCCACACACACACACGTCATGACTATCAGACCAGTAGTTCTAAGTCTGGTGTGATGTCGGACGGTCGGTTTAGTTCCTGTGTTTTTCTTCCGCTATAAAAGGGGTTACGAAAGAGTGATAGGAATGAGAATCCGGTTGGATTTTTCTCTTTTTTTTTCATTGGTAAGTCTCAGAAGTTCTCAGGATCCTCATACTCCGGATTCGTCATCACCAGCAGGAGAGCTTGTTTTGTTACCTGGATCTCATTGGAACCTGTTCACCCAATAGGCTATGCACATGTGGCCAAATAGATGAAGAAATATAACTTTGATCTGTAGGATTATATGGAATAATTTATAACATCCTGGTGAAACTTTTAATTCATGGAAGTAAATTAATCTGTATTTAATTTTCAGACTGCAATTAAAGGAAAACTACAAGAGCTCGGGGCTTACGCAGGTACAGTATAAATGATGCTGTGTGTCAATATTTTACTTATAATAAATCACAAAACAAATAGTCTTTGCATTTGATAGAGCATCTAAAATGTCAACATCTCAAAGCACTTTACAGTAATTACTATTAAATAGGTTGAATGCAGTAGTTGTGCTGATTTGAAGAACACAGTCCAGTTGACAGTCAATAAGGTGTTTCTCGACACTTGCCAAATCTCTCGCAGCTACAAATTGCTGCTTATAAATATTTCTTGAGTTAGGGATACACTGTTCTCGTGAATATGGATCATTACCCGAGGAACTCATGCAAAATTAAATCCGGAAGTTTTTTTTTCTTCTAAGTGTGCTCACAGGCTTAAGATAAATAACTGGACACATCTTGTTTAAATTATTTCCTTTTACACTTTATAACTTTATTTCCTTAATTCTTCTTCTGAATGTGTAGATGAAGAACTTCCTGACTATATCATGGTTATGGTAGCCAATAAGAAGAGCCAACAACAGATGACTGATGATCTCTCTCTGTTCCTGGGAACCAATACAGTGAAATTTACTATATGGTACTTTTGTTTTTGCTTTGACAACAATAGCACGTGAATTCCCTTTCTGTTCTCAACACACCGGTGTCATATATTCTTTCCCGTATGATACCTGTGTTTTAGTTATAGAAAGTCAGCGTAGCTTTATTTTCTTGTAAAAACAATGGCCTGTCCTATTACGGTAGTTGCTTGGCAATATCGTGCCTTATGTAAAATCAAGAATTGTTTCGCTTGCTGTGATAATAAAGGGTATAGGGAAGGATAAGAGTAATGTAATTGGAGTATATAACTGGTGGAAAGCTGGCACCAGCACAGAATGGCTCAGAATGGATGTTAATTAATAATAATTATTATTTTTATTATTAGAGTGTTGATGTGTTGCTATTTTTATTTAGGCTGCATGGTGTCCTTGACAAGCTACGCTCTGCAACTGTTGGTAAGTACCTATATAGCTCATTTCACTTTTAAGGTACGTACAACTTTTTATTTTAAACATAATTTTTTTTCACAAGCGACAGCTTTCACATGCAAAAGAAATGAACAGTATTTTGACTTTGAAGCTTCAGAATTCAAGTTGACCAGTTTTGTTGTTGAGAATTTTTTTTTCTCTTTTTACAGAGCCCACCGGCTTGAAGTCAGCATCCGACTACACAGACAGCATATTATTCTCATCTTCAGAGAAAATTCAAGCAGCTGTCAGTGGGAGCAGTGATCTGAGGATTGATGATGTTCGTAAACTTGCTGTCTCTAGCACACGCTTTGAAAAAAATGATTCTCGAGTTACCACAAGCTCATTACATGAGCAGACAGTAGCCAGTGTCAGGTAGGAGAGATAATAATATTTGCTTTTGTTATAGTGCCTTATCATGTTGTCGAGATGTCTCAAATGGCTTCACAGGAGATACTGTAAAGTGAATAGTTTGTATATTTTGTGGGTGAAATGCACAAAATGATAGTACAATAAAATCATAATTAATAATTGATTAGATGTACTAATGCTGTTGTCCTTAAGCATTGAGTACCTTCAGCTGCAGGTTGGGTAAGTGTTGTGGTTGATAAAATAAGCTTTAGCAATGTATAGGTAGAAAAATTGGAGAAAAATCAAACTAGTTTGAGATCTACAATATCTTGAATGGAGAGTGAACAGAAAGCTTAAAATTATACTCGGTTGAAAACTTGTGTGAAAGCTCTGTTTAGTTGGTTAAAACATTGCTCACTGTGTGGAGCAGCAAAGACCAGAAAGGCTCATTTTTCTAACCCAAACCTATTAATTTACAAAAACTATCTTGGAAATTCATTAAAGCTAGTGATTTTGTTCAATACTTTGCAAATTAAAAATAGAATTTCTTACTTTGTTCAATTATCCTCTGCTTTGTTGATCTTTCCCGAATCAATCCCAGTGCTACATTTTAGTACAAAACACGCTTATATGATGAGTCCGTGAATAAAATTTGACATAAAATTCTTTGGCTCTGTATACTTTTCACTGTTAGTGTTCTGATTGACAATGTGCGGTTAATGATTTGCATTGATTCTGTTTGTCTGAATGGATAAATTCCTCAATTGTTCTGGTTTCTTACTTCAACGCAGGCCATCCTCTACTGAGAGAAATGCATCTCAGTTAATGTCAACCGTGAAGCCCTTAATGGAGCCAGTTTCCTCTGAAGCAGTGATTGACATCAAACCTGAACTAGATGATCTGATAGATGACGATCTGAACATTTTGCAGGACCTTCCTGCGGCATCCAAGAAGAAGCCTGTGGTGACATTTACCTACAATGTTTCTCATCCAACGTTCGAGGGTTACAGGCCATCAGAAAATGTTACCCAGCACTGCAGGGCATCTGAGAGCAGCGTCCAGTCTTACAGGGTGCCTCAGAACAATGTGCAGGCGTGTAGGCTTGGGGAAAGCAACCCGCCAAGCTACAGACCAGAATGTACTGGCCACACTTACAGATCACCTGAAGGTGTCTTGCAAACGTACAACAGGCTATCAGACAGTGGTTTACAGATCTACAGGTCCTCAAAATCTAGCGTGGATCGACCAAGTAGAGATGTGAGTATCATTTCCTAACTGAAACTGGTTAGATTGGGAATCCCCTGGGCTTATTCTTTCTAATGTTTGTCTGACGATTGATCTCATGTTACTTTTACAGGTTTGTAAGGTTTAATTTGGTAAATATGTTGATAGTTCACGCTTCAGTGATACCTGACAAATCAGCCACGTAATCTCAATTGTGCTGTTGTTGCATTCGCCCACAAAATATATGCGGTCAATTCACTTTACAGTCTATTAAGTGAAACGCTTTGAGACGGCGAGAAGACGTAAAAAGCGCTATATCAAATGCAAGGATTATTATTATTTATTATTATTTGGATTCGCCTCCGTGCGATGTATCAACACAACAGTCACTTAGATCATATAAGACTGTATTTCTTATTGGGTACCTGATGATTTTAACACTCCAGAATTTAGTCTATTTAATGCATTCCCTTTGTAAAATGTATTGCTACACTTATTTTTGGATAATTTTTAAGATAAAATTGTAAAGATAATGCTAAGAATGGGTAACTGTTACATCCTCTTTTGTTTCTCTAGGACGAGACTGCTCGGAAAAGAAAGGGGCCAATCATCAGCTCTGTGGTTAAAGTGAACAAGACGAGTGATGGCGAGGACGAGGAAGATGATTATGGTTCAAGAACGGGGAGTCTTCCCAGCAGTATCTCGGTCCCAGCAAAGCCCGAAAGAAGGTACCAAAAGCAAGCGTTCCGACTGTTAAATTCATTTTTTGTTAAGTGGTTCGCAATACAGTACACTGTTGCCAATCCATTTCCTGTGCCAAGTTGAGATGCTACATGAAATTGATGCAGGTAAAAAAAACTATTTTGGTTACAATTTTGTTGTGATGCATTAATGTTGTTTCAGGGGAGGGGGGGGGGGGGGAGGCCCGGGGGGGGGGGGGGGGGAGGCCCGGGGGGGAGGGGGGGGGGGGGAGGCCCGGGGGGGGGGGTAACGGCACCTCACAGGGTGGAGGGCGGTGATGTTGGGCCCTCTCCCCCCAGGAGGCCGAGCCCGAGGCCGAGGCCGCTCACCCTGATCTTGCGGCTGATCTCAGTGCCTATTTCCATACCGCCCTCTGTCTGTCCGTCTGTCTCTCGCCGCCGCTCTCGCGTCTCCCCGCAGTGAGCCGCCCCGGAGGCTGCCGGGAACTACCGAGCGCCATTCGTGTCAAACCCGTTCCGTTCGCGCGATTTCAAAACATTGACCTCAAACGCCGTCCACCACCACCATCACCACCACCCTCTACCCCCCCACCCCTAACCCCCCCCACCCCCCCCTCTAACCCCCCACCCCTAACCCCCCCCACCCCTACCCCCCCTCTAACCCCCCCACCCCTACCCCCCCCTCTAACCCCCCCACCCCTAACCCCCCCACCCCTACCCCCCTCTAACCCCCCCACCCCTAACCCCCCCCCACCCCTACCCCCCTCTAACCCCCCCACCCCTAACCCCCCCACCCCTACCCCCTCTAACCCCCCACCCCTAACCCCCCCCACCCCTACCCCCCCTCTAACCCCCCCATCCCTAACCCCCCCCCACCCCTCTAACCCCCCCATCCCTAACCCCCCCATCCCTAACCCCCCCCCTCTACCCCCCCACCCTCTAACCCCCCCCACACCCCACCATCACACACACAGATTAAAGCCAGAAACTGAAATCGTTTCACTGAATTTGATTTTTTTTTCTTCAGAAGAACATTAAAGAAGTCTGTCGTGGGCTCAATGCCCGGTCGGTCCGCCTGTTCGGGTGGACCTTACGGATCCCGTAGCGCTGTTCAAGAAGAGAAGGGAGTGTCTCCTGATGTTCCGGCCAACAATTCCCCAAATAAAAAATTGGTCCCTCACTCCACGTAACCCTCATCCGTATGGAGTGCAACTCAGTGCACTTCAGCTTCACAGGTTTCCCCGAACAGTTCGTATGATCGATCGCTCTCCATCCATCTATTTCCAATGTTACTAAAATGATTCGGCACAAAGTATTCTCAAAAGTAGGGATTTTGTTCTGGATTTATTGTCATCTATCTTTTAGCTATTACACCAGGAATGAACGAACATATGTCCCACCGATCATGATCAATCTCATGCTCTAAATTTGGAGATTATGTCTGATATTTATCGGATGAAAGTTGCGAGTTTAGTATTTTAAATATTTCCAACAACGGTGGAATGGAAATATTTATCTATTTTAATATAAAGTATTAGACGGTTGTATTCATAGAATTTTTTTTTAAAGCATTCAAGAATCTACAACTTGGAAAAGGGCAAAACAATTCTAATGTTTTAAATATTAATTTGGTTATGGATGTTCCAAAATATTTTATAACTAAGAAACAAGCGCACAACTAAAATATTGTTGCTACTCTTAAATCGGAGGTTATGAATTAAACAGGATTTTTTAAACAGTACCATTTTTGTGTAGATATTAAGACAAAGCTTTCCTTTGCATTAGAGTTCCATGTCAAATATTTAGGTTTTTGTTACAAACAAATGTTGATATTACACGAAAGTAACAAGTGATATTTGTCATACAATATGAAATTACAGGATTGATATCCAGTTCTAGTGATAATGGACGGCAAACCACCACCACGTGGTCGCATTTGAAAATAAATAAAACATTCTGGAGATCCACAGCATCTATGAGATATGCAAACGTTTAATTTACAACTCTTTATTGCAATATCTTCTGACACTGGTTTCATTACGGTACTAAAACACAAGTATGGGAGAGTGGATGAAAAGCGGTCGGGTGAAGAACGTGCTACAGACATAAGCTGAATTTTTTTGTGTCTAAAATTCTATGGTTCTGTAGTATAACTGATCTTGATAGAAGATTGCAGTACATTGTACAATAGTGATTTCAAAGAGCGATTCTGCGCTTTTGTGCAGTTAAAACAATTAATCATTTGCTTTGTATACACTAAAAAAAGCTAGAGGCAACTGCAAAAAGAATAGTGTGGCAACTTTTTTTAAACTTGCTGGCAGCCCAGAACTAATTTATATTTAGTTACGAACTTGGAACCGACATGGTAACCATGTGCTACTGGAAAATCCTAACAACTGAGTGGATTCAGTTGTTTGCCATTGATTAACAGTGCAGTTGCTGGTAGTCAGTTAAATGTATGTTGTTGGCATTAAGTATACATTTCAATAACATCCGGCACGTAAGTATGTGTAGTGACATCAGGTATCCAGTGAAGATGTAGAGATAAGGAAGGTGTATTTCAACCTTGGAAATATCAAGAAATAGCTTGTAGGAGCAATGACCAAAGTAGTATCTATAAATATTTAAAATGTACATTGCATATATTTATTTCCATAGCAGAATATAAACTGAATCTCTTTTCCATAAACATATTACATAATCAATTCAGTTCAAATACAATCTGTACATTGTTTCACAAACTTTCAAAATTCACAAAATATCGTAGGTCAGATTTGTAAAACCATAAATCAATATGCAAATCATACAATACTCAATATGAATGGATAACTGAACACTGATAAAATGGTATGGCATACATTGACAAAAACATACATGCAGTAGATTAATCTTCACGACTAACCTTCATGAAGTGTAACCCTGTTCAATTAAATTTAGAACATGGTGTAAACTGCTTCTACATAATTTCTATACATGAAAAACATTACAAAACATCAGATTGTCCTTCATATTTCCATGATTTCTGTCCTATAACAGGACGAGACTATTCTTTTGACTCATTACATGCACCAATAGCTATTGAAATTCATAAAACAGGTGGATCGTAGTGTGAAGAATTATCAAACATGAATAAGTTTGATGAGGAACATGGATACTACAAAGGAACCCTTCACTTTAACGTTTTGTAAACTTACTATTTAGCAGCAGTCTCACGATGCACCACACCTCCCGGAGTTTAAATTCATAATGAAGTTGTTTACTTCAGTTTTACAATGAAAATTTCACACAAAAGCCAGTTGTGTGCAAAGTACCTAACTATCAAATGGGTATAATATTAAAATATTTTGCAGACTTGAACCCAACTTTCATATGAGCTAAAAGATTTAAATATGCAAGGCAAATGCTGCATTGTTAAAATAGAAAATGTGTTAATGGCGAATACAGCTGTTAAAATGGGTAAAAGATTATGTAATTCAATGAATTACATAAAACCACAGATTCTATTGAATTTGTAAGCCTATCTGAACAAACTGTCTATTCAAAACATAAATAGGATTTACTTTTTAAACTGAATCATTCCACCTCACTTAGTAAAAAGTGGAACTCACAATCTTTATATTCATCCCTTTTGTAACCCTTGAAACGTAATATACCTAATGGAACATTTTACACATTCTGTGACCAGCCCTAGAAAGGTAAAATCCCAACTCAAACCATTATTTCCTCCATTTGAATCAGTTCAACTTACTTTTTAAAAAGCAGCAATTCACATTCACTCATTCTTTTCTCACATCATATCCTGTCACTGCACTTTATTCCAAACTAACATTCCCTGTTATACCCAACAATCACTTCCAGGAAACTAAAGTATGTGCACACTAAAACTTGATAAAACTATAATGGCCTGTTAGTTCACAGAGCATGAATTTATTTACTTTTATATATTTTATCAGCTACTCTATCCACTAATCTATAACCTATACTAATTACATAGAAAGACTTACAAAACAAAGCCTTCACTTCGTAGAATAAAACATTCACTTCATAAATATTCCCCACCTGACATTGTTTAATCCCTACTTTTCCAAACATTTGCCAATGTAGGTTTTTGTATCAAAGGTAACAGAACACATGAATATATGTATTTGAAAAATATTTCTCAAAATACTTGCTACAATTTTATAATGGAGTTTAAAATGTTGACTTCTAAATAACCATTCTGTGGATGTATTTTTCTACCACTACCCAGTAGGAGGGGAGAGTTTTTACTTCATTTGAAACTAATCTACAACCAACTATTTTATTCGCAACACACATTCAAGGACTCGGGATTAAATGAGTCTCGAGCTTCTCAGGAAATGAATAAGCACTTTGTAGACAAACGTGTACTGTGCAATTGTTTGCACCATCAACATCCTTTGCTTTCGGAGTATGTTCAACACAGTGGTGATATCCAGCACCTATAGAATAAATGTAAATGAATCATTGCTCCATACGTAAATTCTTTCAAGTAATTACTTCAATACAGAACAGACACTTTAGTACAGTACAGAAGATTATTAATGACTAAAAATCATGGATGGGAAAAAATAAATCAAACCCACTTTCTTTTTAAACCACTTACAATCAATCTAGTCGGTCACTTTCCCCTACTCAATTAAATCGCCAATGAATGTAAAATGTTCAATTTATATTCTTAAATACATGACTATTGATATGTTATAGTTTGAACAAAAACAGCGGGTTTGAAAACTTAACCAAATTAAGATCTCGGACTGTTTATAATACTAAGCACACCTATAAAAAATGTGTTAAAAATCTTAAAATAAGCACTAAAAATGGTCTAGATATTATTTCAAACATGATTGAAAGTAAAATTGTATCAATCAGAACCAAATTAATGCTGGTGCTTCAGAGGCAGATCGCAAGTGGGATTTAGATATTTACACTAGCATTGCTTTAGTTCATAATGGAAATACTAGAATTGTGGTAACAGAACAAGTCCCCCATCATTTAATAAAGCCACATATAGTTTTAAATCCACTAAAAAAAAACCTTACCGCATTGTGTTCTAGGCAGCCAATCATAACTTCTGCCAGAATGACAACACCAGTTCTTCCAACGCCAGCACTGCAGTGTACGAGCACAGGGGACTCCGGGCCCTTAGTGTCCGTTGTACTGTTAGTGTGACGACGCACTGACTCGATTTCATCCAAATAAGCTGAAAATAAATCAGAAAAGCCTAGTTATTAAATGTACATTGAATGGCAATCAAAGTCTTTTAAGATAAAATGGTCGCTAAATTAACTTTACGTTTCGTGGATCAAATGGCCCCCCTCTGTCCTGTAAATATTCTACAAATTAGTTATAAACATACACCGGAATCCTTTGATGTCTTCTGGGCAGCCATTTTCTGGCCAGTCTGTGTACTGCAAGTGCCACACCGTTCGCTCTTGTCCGCTCAACAAATGTTTGATTTTTAGGCCTGTTGTTGCATAGCAGCCCGAGTCTGTGCGAAATCGAATGGTTATTTTAAATCTTCCATATGTGACAGAGTTGTTCCTGGAGCCTAATCGTGGCCAGTACCGAAAACTTTTCTCTCTCCCTCCTTCCTGTAAAATACACAATGCATTCAATGTACGGGAATGTTAAATATAAAAAAAGTAGTGTACAAGATTAATTGGTAATGCAAAGTCAACAATGAATAAATCTTATGTATCAGAAGAGAGTGACAATGGTAGAAGTTGACAATAACAAAATTAAGATCGCACTTTAGGGTGCCTATTTCTGCTGTACATAGTATTCAACAAATACAAAAATATTTAGCAAGTACTTGAAAGTACAGAAGGCATGAGCAGCAGCAATACCTCTTCCATGTTAACCATGGCAATGATGGCAACTCCCTGTTCCCACACCATTTGCCAAAAATCATGGCACGTATTCTGCAGTGGTCCCTGTGTGGCAATGTAATTCCATTCCTTGTCCCCAACAGTTATCTAAAACAAAAAGAAAATCATTAAACACTCAAAAGTTATTGGAAATCAAGAACTGTTTACACAAAGATATAGAGAACGATTGGAATCTATTGAAATCCCCTGAACAGAGATTTCCATTTATATAAAGCACTGCAAGGCTCCCCATTATTAAGCAATTCGCTAGAGTTTTAACCCAGATGCTCTGGTGAACTGTAATTAGGGCTGTGTGGCGCACCTTCAATTTCCTGCACGAAAAATGGCTGACTTCCAAGTTGCCAGGCCACCACTGACTGTACGCTAAGCATCTGTGTTATGTGCAGAATGTGCCCCTGATGTTACTTTACAAAGGGAGCAACGTCGAGAACCCGATAACTTTGAAGTCACATGGTAAGTGACATCAACTATAATCTGATAACCTGAAAATTTTTATGCTCCCTTTTAACACATCGGATATTGGACCCAGACCTTTTGGCCATAACTGGATTGCCCTGTATAAAGCAAGCACGTACTGTATAAATACTTTTTCAGTTACCTTTATGTTGGATGCATTTATATATCCAGTATTGTTTTCTTTTGTAGGAACCAGCTCCACTCTAGTGTCATCATAAGGAATAACATCTGGGAATCTATTTCTTTCTGCGTTTTCCGGCAGCTGGGCTATGGTACACTCTGCATGCGCACTTCTTTTCGGAACTCTTTCATACTCTGTAAACACCATTTTCTGTTCCACACGTTGTTCCAAGATTTTGCACTAAAAATGTGAATGCATTCATAAGTGAAAAGAGATCCTAAAAAACAAACAAGAAATGTTGATTCTGGTAAAAAGGAGAATTTTAAAAGTACGGACGATCAAAAAATACATAGCTTCTTTAAAAAGAAACGCACTTAAGTAATGCACACTAATGTGCTTAGCTGTTCAAGGCCACCTTTTGTATATTTATCTGGTTTTGTCTCCTACATTTTTCAGCCATTGCATTATGAAGGTTTCAGTAATAAAAACAGATGACCAATACAAATATGTCCTGGTAATATTTGCTGATTACCAGAGTTTAACGTTACATTTCATTGTATGTTTAGATCAAAATCCCCTCTTTTGTGACAATACAAACACAACAGAATCTACGTCATACCCTTTCATCAAATGAGGCTTTAGCAGGTTCATCCTTACGGTCATCAGGTAATGGCTTTTGAAATGGTGTTAATCCATTCAGTTCAGCCATCTTTAATGGGCCAATTTTCCTAACATCTGATACCTGGGTTCCTTTTTTTGTATCCTTAAACAAATTAAAGAATTTCAATTAATCTAAAAGAGGTGCACTGACGATCAAGAACCATTTTTCAGTTAAATCAGCAGAGAACTTCTATGGTAAGATTTGTTGTCTTTTGCCATCCAGGAAAGCTTTTATAGATGACTTGTTCAACTATTAAACTGCACCCCAACCAAATATTGCTCGCTTATCCAGTTTAAATGGGATAGAATGATTCCGTATTTTTAAAATAACTCCGAATAGTTTTTCCTTCTATTCCTTAATGTTGCACTGAAGAACTTAAGTTTAAAAGAAAACTTGACACTATGAAATGTGAAAGCACAAACTCCACGTAACCAGAAACACCAGAATCTGGTTTTAATGTGTCACTCGGTTTCTTTTCTACTACAACAAGCAAAGATGCCATAATTATCATGACACCAGTTACAGTCAAGACACCAAAACCAAAGGTAAGATTAATGAGTCTCAACTTATTTATTTATAAAGATATACCCACTTTAACAAAAAAAAACACCGTTAGGATTGTAGTGGAGCTGTGCTTTGATGTCTCCATACACTGGGATAAAGACATCCTGTTAGTTGGTATCGCCTTCCAAGAATCAGTTGCACTGATTTATTTATTTAGAAATAACTAATAGCAATAAAGGAACCAGTTACTAAGCTACTTACTCGAAGCAGTGGAAGAGCTTCCACAGCGTTTTGTTTTCCATTCAGTCCTTCAGACATGGTCCTTTTCTTGGAGGAATCCCATCTATTTGTTTTGCTGGTATTCAGACTGGGCTCAGACATTGCTGGAACAAAAAACGGTATTGCTTCCGTTGCCTCCCTTTCCCGTACTCGTTTTTCTAAACTGTGCTGCCTGGCCAGTGCAGCGGTAGGACTGTACGGATAACTAGGCAGTACTTCATTGGAGAACTGGTTTAACATAGCTGGCAACTCAGCATTACGGTCAACAGGGAGAGCTGGCTCAATATATTCTGCATCATACTCCTCTTCCTCCTCACTGCTGTGAATCAGCATAGTTGCATCTGAAAGAGATCTCCCATGGCTGAAGCTTTTGGCTTCATGAACTTCAGGTTCTCCTGGTTTTGTTCGTTCAAAGTAAACAGTAGGTTGTGAATTTGCAGAGGTTTCCTTCGTCTCAACACCCGATGTTGACCTGGTCCTCTCTTTTATTCTCATACTTTCAAAGTGGTGCATCAACCCTGCAATCTCGATGCTGTTGCGTTTATGCAGGTTGCCTTGCAGCCTTGCCGAAGTCAGGGGTTCGCTCACCTCTTGGAGCGAATGTGCCACAGGCAAGCTATCCTCCTGGAATGTCTGCACAGAGTGATGGACACGCCTGGTTATCAAATCTGGATTGCTGCTGCTGACATACAGGTGTCTGGAAAGGTCGGGTGTACTGTTTGCAGGTCTTGGATGAGGGTAGGGTGGTGGGGGCCTGTATACTTGAGTTCTAAGTATATTCGCTGCACTGTAGTCCTGAGCATGCAGTTGAGCATTAGTCAGTTCTGGCACACTAACTGCCCCAACGACAGGGCGTCGCTCCACTGAATTTAGATATGGTGACTGGCTATGAAAACTGTAATTCAAATGGAAAGGGTATGGATTTTGATTGTGGGAGCCAAGAAGAGCATGCTCTCTGATTTCTGGCTGACTGTACACAAGTGGATCTGGTCTGCTGTAAGCGTAGGAACTTCCTATGTTGAGATTTCGCATAGAATGACTCTGCTTTTCATTGTGCATTACGCCACGATTGAGCTGCCTCATAACGGTCTCATAATCTGGAGTTGGCCTGTAGGAAGGTGGTATAATGGCACTATGCCTATTTGTTGGGATATAATCAGGTCTCACCACATCACTTCCAGTAATACTAGGATTTGAAGACATAGGAGATGCCTGCATAAAGTGCTGCATGTTATTTAAAGAGTTTGTGCTATGCGCACTATATACGCTGCCATTCCTCATTCGACCATTATATTCATGTGGAGCCCTGTCCAAACTCGTCTGAGAGCGACAGAAACAGCCATTCTGATTGTTCATGTAGAGATTGTCTGAAATAAAAGGTGAATTAGGAAATTACACAGCACCAACTCTAGAATATTGATAATCACTGTAAGAGAAATTCAGACTTAAACTTTGAGAATACAATTTGAATTGAAAAGGGTCTTAAATCTATAGAAATATTTCTATTCAGACAATAATAATTCCAGCAAGCCGGTCTAACACCAGCTTTCAAGATCAATTCAGTGGCCCAGTCATCATGGAATATAAACTGCCTATACAAATTAATCTATCATTTACGAATGTACCTAAAACATACACAAAATTGCCCTTTGACATTTAAATTCAAATTAGAGTAAACAATATGAATGACCAGGTATATATTTTGAAGCGGACAAAAATCACACAGTGCTGCCATCAAACACTTCTGCCAATTATTTCAAATTTCATTGCCAAAATACCTTGGGATGATTTATATGGCTCTGTGTAGTGTCCATTGTAATGAAGCTGGGGTGGAGGCATCAAATAATGCTGAGGTTTAGGCTAAATAAAACAAAGATAATATCAATGAATGGTAAATCACTACCAGATGACACAAACAAGGACATATTCCAAAACAAATCAAAGTTCACACCTACAAAACAATCAAAACATTGTAAAATACAGATAAACTACGCTTTTAGCAATACAATTCCTTTGTTGAATCAACAGTAAAATTGTACCTCATTTTTTATTCAAGTGGCTTTGATTTTGGGCCTAAGTTATCCCTTAGGCCCAAGTTAAGTTATCCCTTGGGCCTAAGTTATCCCTGAGTGGTAGTTTGTGAATCAAATTTATGTGAATAGCTGCAGTATAATTCTTTTTGTGCAACAAATAAAATAAATCAAGAGCTTTCATGAATTTCACTTCAGGGCTTTATTATTGAAGACACATCCATATTCCTTGCTGTTTTTTTTCATTAAAAGGCATTCAGTACAGGTTAGCAGAGTTCCACATAATCATTTGGGTTCACTCAACACCAGGGAGGAGTGATTTGGAGTTGCCAATATATAGCTTGGTTTCCCACTCTGAATACACAATTCAGGATCACATTAGTCTTGAAATACAACTAGGACTCCAGAATATCCAGTGGATTATGGACTGAGTTTAAAGCACTACGGCTGTAAATATTATTTCTTGTATTATTTAGTAATGCTAAAAATGGTTAAAAGAACATTACATGAGTCATGAACACAAAAAAATGAACTTATTGGGTTCTGCTTCTATGCATCATGTTAATTCAGAATACATTAATCCCATTCCTCATTAAACATTCTTTCTTAAGAGGGGAATAAATCTGTTGAAATTAGCTAGTGGCAGTTCCAGAAAAAATATTTAAGGTACTTTAAAATCATAACAGAAAAACTGAAGGAGCTTTATCTCACATACCAAAGACATCCTAGACAATGTCCGCCTCCGGACTGGACTTAATGACACAGTCTGAGATTGTCTGAAATTGAAGAAGATTGGTGATTCACTGCAACGTGAGAATTTTGCTTCAGGGTAAATCATAACTATATTTAAAACAGATTAATAAAATCTTTTAAGCATCAGGTTTTCTTATGGTTAATATTAAACATAGTAAAAACAGTTAAACTATAAACTACTGAACATTTTATTAAAACTACCTATTTGGAGACAGGTAGAAAGTAATAATGACTGAATGAATAAGGTTCTACTTACAAACTGCAGTTCTGATTAAGCCTGTAAAACTTTTGTCGTACAACACACATTCTCCATATATATTTAGATGTTTCCATATCTTCCTGGAAAAGAAAAAGACTGTAAAAGCTGCCGTCTTAACTTCTAAAAGTATCAACCTTTACCTAATCAGTTGGTAGAATCAAATTTTAAATATTATGAATATACAGTTCAAAAATAAATGTATTCAAAAGGATAGACTTTTTTTTAAAAAATCAAGGAAGGATATAGCATCAATACTCAATGAATGTTTGTTAAATGTGCTGTCAATGATGATGACACTATTGTATAGTTTCGACATGGGGTTCAAAAGAGTGTGTATATGTAATTTGTGAATGTTTAACTTTGCATTTTAGAAACACATAGAACAGAATTGCAGACATAGCTACCATTTTACAGACATTTAAGCACTCCAAGATGCTACTCTGCGTGAAATTTGCTATATAAGTGCCACCTGTGATATAATTACATCAGCTGAAGAGACCAAATTAGGAACACTCACCGTCTGGAACTGGATTGTCTCCTCCTTGTTTGTCAGCTCTAATGCAAAGAAGGATTTATTGTGAGACATGTTAGAAATGTCATTCCACCTGAAAAAGGAAAATCTCCGTAAAGAACACATTCAAAATACTATATGTGAGCAATGAAAATAAAATTATGGGCATGTTGCTCTGCTGCAATTGAGAAATGAATAATTACATAACTTTAAACATTAATATTGAAATGTTGCTCCACCAGAACATTTAACACTGTGACAATTCAACAAGTCAGCTTATTGATTATTATTAATCATTGCTCATGTCTCTAAAAACAAAGAGCACTAGAATAGATTTTCTCTTCTTACTTGAAAACAGGAGATCTGCCATTTTTGTGCTTTACAAAAATGCCTTCCAAACAAGCACCAATAAGTAGATCATTTCCCTGACTGTCCTATAGAAACGAGAAAGCAGACAGTAGGTATAGACAAAAAACAAACTCCGCTTTCTTCTAATGTGGTCTTTGCACAATTCTAATCGGATATATTTCCATTACTACACCACTTTACATTGCTAGATTTTCGATATGCCCTGTAAGCTATTATATTAAAGTCTGAAAACATTTTCATTTATTTTCACATAATATAAAATAATTCAATTTAAAACAAGACAATTTAAATGCAACATAAAATGGGTAAGATTACAACACAAGTGAAGCTCATTACATCCAGTCTCTTCACTATTGAGTTACATGGGAGTATATGTTGCTATTAAACACAACAAATAAGATTTCAAACAATTTCATAAAAACCTTTACAAATTCCTCCCTATAACATACACAATTTAGTAATACTTTGGCTTTTTCAGCTTGTTTGTACTTTTTTTTCATACCTTGGCTGTGTAGCTTTCATGGCCATAGCCTTCCATCTTCATTACCTCCTGCAAATATAACAACTCTGCTTCAGAGGACATAAAACCCCTAAAATAAAAAAAATGGAGTTGGAACAAATGTGTAAAATTTCTGGAATTAACAGATTAAACTGTAAAATGAAACAAACTTTAAAAAATTAAAATTAGTGACAATGCAGTGAGCACTTTTTAATTTATAGGTTAGCATTTATTTGAGTTATTACACAGGAATAAATACTGTGCTTCCAATATTTAAGTGGTTTCATTCATGTAAGATTAGGATTGTTTTCAGCATGACTGTTAATCTGAAATCATACAGAACTGCTTAGCACACAAGCCTCCATAAACCTAGAATCTAAGAAGTGATATGCAAGTTATCTGAAACCATTATGTGCAGAAAACAGATCATTTTAACAACAATAAAAATTCAATCGGTTCATCAAATGAACTGTGCAGAACAATATATTCATTCAACACTTCTATCTAATGGTGCAATAATGCAAAATTCATATTTTTCACCTGAATTTCTGGTGAAGCAAAGCAACCTTCTGTGTTGCTTCTTGAAGCATCCGCTCATCTTGAATCCAATTCTTTTTGTGGTGGAAGAAGAGAGAATTTGCACAACATGAAAGACAACTTAAAATAACAACATTCAAGTTTTAACTGAACACTTTTAAAAAAAGTTTCAGGAAGCTATTGTCCATTTTAAAACGAATATTACAGACAAACTGAAAATGCTTTTAATATCATTCAAAATTCAGATTTACATAGCAGCTCTTGAATACGCAAGCATAGCATAAGGACGTTATATAAAAATGCAAGTTGTAATCTAAACAGTTGAGCAATAAAATCAGAATGTGAATACTCCTATTTTCAGATTAAGTACCCATCTACAAAATGGTAGAACGTAGAAGTCAACGTAGACTATATATTATACTAGAAATCAATATAAACTATATTTTACCAAGTAAAGAAAAAATAATAAGCTGTACATTTTGAAAATAGATGCACTCCACATTAAAACTTTAGATGTTAGAATTTTGAAAAGAAAACTTACAACTGGAAATAGATCACATTTGTAAAGAAAATCTTGGGATTCATACTGATCAAAATCTCCAAAATCAGCTGGAAAGAAAAGAAATTTCAATCAAACCCTGGAAAACTGTCCCTAGAAAAGAGTGCTGAAATACGACGATCAAAAATTTTCAGTTGAAAGATATTTGTCTCAATCATAAAGAGACTGCAACACATTTAGTTTTTTTTATGTTATCACATTAAATCACTTTCCTCTACGATCTACATTTCAAGCATTTATCTAAATGGTGCCATAGCTTTCAGCAATCGTGTTATTGCCAACAAACTGGAAGGAATATTACTTTTAGCACAAACTAATTAATCTTTCTTTACCCTGAGCAGCTAGACCAGCAAGCTGAATTCCTTCTTCTAATGTGCAAGGAATACGACCTTCTAAGATATCTTTCTTCAGCTGAAGATAATATTGGTATCTACAAAAAGAGAAAGAAGACGCAGTCCATATAAGTAACAGATAACTTTTTCACCAAGGGTGAGCTATGACAATTCCACTGGTGCTGCTGATCTGCCGGAACCTCACCAAGTAGCTATTCAGGACCTCATCAATGGCTATTCTCACGTGCAAGCCTGGAGCTGTAGCATAGCAATTATGTTAAATCACTTGTTTTGGTTATCTATCTAAGAACAAAATTACATTTGTATAGCACCTTTCACGTCAGGAGGATGTCCCAAGGCGCTGGACAGACAGAGCTACAGACTCGAGCTGAGGGTCGGGGTGGGGGAGGGCGGAGGGGGCAAGCAGGGAGATCGAAAGCACGGTCGAAGAGGAGAATCTTGAGATGAGTCTTAAAAGTGGCGAGGGAGGGGAGAGACGGAAGGACTGCGAGATGGAGTTAGAGAGGGTGGATGCAGAGTGGCGGAAGGCCCGCCTGCCCATAGTGGGGCGAGCAAGGCGGGGAATGGTTTAAGAAGACTTCTACAATTCAAGATTACCTCCTCTCAAGTGGTTTGTTAAAACCTACATTAAAGTATGTTCAAAAAATTAAGAGTGGGATTTGAACAAAATCTTAATTCACACAGTTTAAGATACTAATGTAAAGCAAACGAAATACATCTTCACCAATGTAAGGTTTTACATATTTAAAGAGTCACATTCAAGGAAATAATTGTATTGTTCGAATTATTCTAAGAGAATAGGTCTATTCGAATTGCAGTGTATTTGCCTCTTATTGCTTTCATATTAAATAGGTGAGGATATTGTATCAGATTAATTATTTAATTCAACTATAGTTTATTCATGATTCATTCAACTTATATCGAGTCTTGCTTACTTTGTAATTTCCTGCTGAAGTTGTGTAGCGTTTGGCACGTACAATACCACACCAAAATAAACTGTAGGTTCTATAGAATACTTATCCAGCTGTTTTTTAATGGGTTTTTCCAGATCCACCCAGCGAGATTGGTTCTGTTTATTGTAGTACCATAAACTGAAATATGTAATCTGCAGAACAGAGAGAACATCAGTTAACCAATTAGTAACCAATAGTAGTGCATAACCTAACCCTTAAAACAAGCATAGAATTGGAAATCTTTGGAAGGAAACAAAATAATGCAAAAATAATATTTTCCTTTGATATAGCACCTTATCAGGTCATCAAAGGGTCTTAAAATGCTTCACATGATTTTACTGTAGAGTGTAGTGACTGTTTTTGTAGGCAAATGTGGCAGCTACACAGCAATATCCCACAAACCGCCATGAAGTGAATAGGCAATTTTCTGAAGGGGATTTGATAATCAAGACAGCGAGACAAACTGCCTTCTCTTTTCAATCTTCAACATCCCAGATGGACAGGACATCTCCATAGGACTGTAACTCACAACTCCAGCAATGCAGGGCTCCCCCAGCAATGCATTGAAGTATCATCCTAGAAGATGCGTTCAAACTCCTAACATGGGCCTTGAACCACAACACATTGGCTCAGAGACAAGAGTACTACAAGTTGAGCTGCGTTGCCACTAGTAATTGTATAAATACCATGGTTGATAAGAATAAGCACTTAATATGACAAATTAATCTGTTTAAAGTATTAAAGTTATTGCTTAATGCAAAGAGTATCAACTGATCAAGTAAGGAAATTGCAGGGTCCTTGTGATAAACCAATATCCTTGCTTCAGTCTCCAGTACAAGTTGAGGCACAGCAATAATATTTTAAAGACTTGAAAAAGGAACCATTTGGAATCAAACAACATATTGCACAATAATGTGATATATGCCACCCCATTAATTTTAGGGGGTGGGGGGGGATCGTACCATGCAGTCTATAGTCAGCACCACTGCTATTTTTAATCATGTTTGAAATTTCAGACCCTATAAATACACAAGCAGAACATTAAGAGACTCCTTTGAAAGCAAACAAAATAGTCCAATACAAATGCTTTTAAAATATTCTTCTCCCACTTGCCTTCGCACTTGATGCACTACTTTCTATCAGGCAAGCAACTGAATCAACACCCTCTATCCAGGACCTGAACTAGATACTAAAAGTGCACCTGACAGGTACCCAATCCTACTTCAGAGAAGCATTCTCCAGATAGCATAGGACGCCCAATCACTATAAGAACATTAGTATTCAGTACTGTCACATGCATAGTTAATGCACACACACACACACATAAATAAATACGCCTCACCTCTCTCAGCTCTAACCTTTGTGCAACAGCTTCCAAGCATTCTTGACCCGTACTTTCCACAGAAAGAGTGAATTCCAGAAATCCATTATCCAACAGATGGATCCGGGCAACCAAACAGCTCTTGCTTGAGACCGTATACCTTCGAGTTCGCTTTAATTTTAGTCCAAAAGGTAATGGCATGGCAGAATAAAATAATTGCAAAATTTCCTGCACTTGTTCCCCTTACTCTGCTTGCAAGTTTGTTGTCTGCAGCATGTACAGAAGTCATCCAGCAGCCAGCAGTAGAAGGTTGAGCCACTTAAATCGGGAAAGCATTGCCCTACGAAACAAAACAGTTGAATATTCAGCATGGTGTAGTGTTCCTCATTCTCTCAACAAAGTGCAATCTCCACATACGAAATGGATAATTCCTTTATTTGCATAGTTTTGAGAATGTATACCTGTAAAGTTTCTTCAACGTATACTATGCTTGTTTTTCACCCCCTTCATTCTATATTCCCCTTCTTGCCATCTACTCAGTATAATATTAAGAGTTCAGCAAACCTGGTTGAAATCTGAAACCTACTATTCCACAGCATAACCATAGAGCATCAGAACAAAGTACTGCACCATCATATTGTCCCTTTATTGAGTTGTTCACTGTTTGTGAATTACAATGCTTAATCCCAACATTGTTAGATCTAATCCAGGATATGACGAGCAAAGTGCAGGAGGACAGTATTGCAATTTGACCAGAGAAAACAAAAACATCTATCTGGTCTTTATTGTCTATTAAAGTAGAACAGAACCCTGTGGGGTAGACTAGAACACAAACAACATACTGGTACAGTAGTGGTGAATGAACAAAGCTGAGGATACTGAAAGAGAACTTGACAGACTGCATATTAAGCTACTTAAAGAGTTGGCTAATACAATCAATCACACCTGGCAGGTATGTGTGGGCTGAAATATTCAGTTATGTTTATATCTGAATATTTCAATCTACAGTACTGTAACATCCAAATAGCTGAAGTATCTAAGGTGTATAGCCAGAGGAATGGAGCACAAGTTTCATGACATGAGTCATCTTGTACAGAACACTGGCCCAGCCCCACCTGAAGTTTATCCAATTCTAGTTAATGAACAACACTATTGGGATCCTTGCACTGAAGATATACATAACATAATGGGCCAAATAGCCTTCTGTGCTGTAAATTGCTATGTTTCTAAAATTCCACGGAGGGTAAACAAAATCGTATCTGAGATTAGGTACCTGAGCTAAAGAAGTTATGGAAACCAGTTTGCACTGGAGGAAAGGCAGCTCAGGGGAGACTGAATCGAGACGTTTTGCACACAAAACAGTCACTCCACTTGGCAACGTATCGTGTGAAGCACTTTGAGTCGTCTCTACAACGTGATAAGGCTCTGTATCAAATGCAGGGATTACTGTTATTATTTTCAAGATTGTAAGTGCTACAAATAAACCATCAAAATGTTAAAACACAAATCAGAAACCGCACAACTCGTTTAGAGGAGAAAAGACGAACAAAAGTTTTGATTTGCTTCCCACAGAACAGCAAATATATAGCCACGGTAGCAGTTAAGATGGACAACATTAGCAAAATTCAAGAGAGTGCTAAACAGATGTTTGCTGGAAACTGAAGTGTATTAGAAATCGAGTATTATGATTTTGAAATGTTGCGACCAGAGCAAAGTCTTCGCCAGTTTGGGTTATTTGCATTTATTTAATAATATTTAAGGACTTCATGTAATGCAGGTCAATCGACATCCCATCATTCATTAAAAATAACAGTAGTACACATTTACTGACAGAAATTGCTACTCCGGCCCTATCCGGAGCTGTTTTCTTTGGTTTGATCTGCGATACCGAGCTAATGACAACACGTTTTAAAAGTTTCACAGCGGGAAAAGCGATACAACAACATACATTGGTTCGCGTGTCATTCCGCAATCATCCTTCGCTTTGGCTCAACTTTGACGTCAACGAACTGCCGACTTAAACTGGAGCTTAACAAAACACAACCGAGCAGGAGGTGTGTGTGTGTGTGAGTGTGAGTGAGAGAGAGTGAGAGAGAGACCTCCTCCAAGAAAAAAAACATTTGCGCGAAGGCAATAACCGGGTGCAAACAAAGAGAGCAGCTCTGTGTGTGTGTTTGGAGAGGTGGGGGCTCTGCTCTGTGTGTATGAGGGTATATATATATATATATAGAGAGAGAGAGAGAAGGGTATGATTTAGATGGCACAAAAGACAAAGCAGGGAATGTCAGGCGGGCAAGGAGTCAGGGTTGGGTTGGGTGGAGGTGCGGCCATGGCGGCGGTGGTGGTGATGGTGGGGGGGGGAGGGACGGGGGAGGGAGGCAGGAATCACGCGGCACCGTTTACCAACACTGACAGGCGGCCGTGAAATTCGACGGCTGAGACTCGACCAGGAGCGCGAGCGTTCCTGGCGGAGCCGGAGGCCCAAGTGTCTGTGCCGACCCCCCCCAAAAAAAAACGGAAAGGAGGAATAAGTTCAGCCCTCGTACGGTTTGGTCCGGTCCGGCCCGGCGCCATCTCCTAAACCCGGGGAGGAGGGGGGGGGGGGGGGGGGGTGAAGAGAGCTGAGGAACAACAAAACCCCTCACACCTCCCGTCTCCCACTCGGGGAAAATCCCGCACGACCCACCGGCCGCCAGAGAGCAGTTGGCGGCACCAGACCGAGGGGGACACAGATGAGGAGGGAGGGAGGGAGGGAGAGATGAGGAGGGAGGGAGGGAGGGAGGGAGAGCGGGCGGGCGGGAAGGGCGCGCGTGGTGGGCCACCAACCGTCTGCGCTCCGCTCCGTCCGTCCGTCCGTCGGTTACCTTTCGAATGCTTCCAGAAGGATCGGCTCGCGGGGCTCCGGCCGCCACGCTGACTCCTCTCCGTCGTCTTCTTCTTCCTCCGCGCTCCCGGCAATAGTTCCCCGCCGCTGCCGCCGCCCTCTCACACTTCCGCTTTCTCCCTTTTCCCTCTCGCACTCTTAGTATGCTTCCGCCACTCCCCGCCCCGCCCCCCCATACACGCCCCGCCCCCCCCGCCCCGCCCATGCCCGGCGCTACTTTCAGGTGGCACAGGGATCCCTTCTGTTTGCAACAGTAGCACAGCACAGACTTCCCCCCCACACACACACACACACACACACAGAGGGGGTTCAGGGATCACTGCTGCACCACACGCATCCGAAGCAAATCGCCACCAGTGCCACACGAAGCATTAGCATTAATTTTTATGTTAGAAAATTAGGAAAAAGTGTGACCGTTTCATTCTACGACCCTTTCGTTTGCAATTCGATGATTGTTTGGGGGGGGGGAGGACGGGTTTGCGGGGCTAATGGTGCGGGTGGGTGGGTGGGTGGGTGGGGCGGGCGGGCGGCGGGCGGGCGGTCGGAGTGGGTTTGAATTGGAAAAGCTCTTTGCGAAGAGCCGACACAGACACGACGGGCCGAATGGCCTCCTTCAGTGCCGTACGATTCTATGATTCTATTTTCTCCCTTCCTCCCCCTTTCCTTCGGGGCCGATTGTGTTTAGTTCAGTCGCTGGATCGGGAGCTGATGTGGGGAGGTGGCGGCTTGCGGTGTGAAAAGTCCATGACATCAGGCACCTGGAATGCTATGTGCACCAAGAATTTGTGGCATGGGACAGCTGGCTGCTGAGTTGAGGATGCAGGGATCAAACTTCCTCCCCCTAACAATATACAGCTCTTACTTTATTGCTTCGAGCTTTAAAATGTTCAGAATTTTTTTCTACGACTGCAATTGAATAGCTGCTCGTTTACACAGAATAATCGAGGAGAATGTGTCTCAAAGGCTCGAACAGGATCTAAAGTCATCTGGTTTTATGCAATCGTCTCCACCCACCAAAATACATAGCCTGTTTAACACATTCCCAGATGCTATTTATATTACTCCCTAGTTTTTTTTTAATTGAGCTTCCATTACTATTTGTGTGTTTGGCAGTGTTACAATTAGAATTTAGCTCTAGCATTCAATCAGTAGGTTGATTTATATCGCATAATAATACTGTAATAGGCAGTGTGATTGTTGTAGGTCACTTTGGGGAAGAAAGATTCCTTCCATCAAAACACTGAGTGAAATCACCACTAATCTCTTAACAATGCAAGCCTACCACCACTGACTGTTGAGGCTCCTCTTTATTCATTTGCGGGACACATACACATTCCTCTATGATATTTATATGAATACTTCTCACAGTGTCAAAATTGCACAGAACACGAGGACCAATCTAATCTGGTTGACTTGTATTGTACCGCCTAGAGCAAGCCTGGCACTTAAATCTTCACCATAACATACCAAAGGTTTGCTCTACTATGTAGCAAGGTTTAAGTGTGTAGTTATACGTTACAACAACGCCCTTCACGCCGGACGGCATCTCGGACCGCTTAACTATACAACGTTTCACTCACAAGGTGTACAGTCAATTCACTTTACAGTATATTCTGTGAAGCGCTTGGAGACGTCTTGAAGATGTGATAAGGCACTATATCAAGTGCAAGGATTATGTTTGGCTGGCCGTTGTGGATCAGTAAATGATGTCATGAGCTACAGATTTACATTAAATCCATAAAGCCAAACTTGCAGATTTTATCCTCTTCAAATAACTAGGGAGTGCAAAACCTTCTTGGGATAAATTAATTTTGAATTTGTAAGTTAGTTCACCTCTGATTTATTTGGGGCTATAATTATATGTTGTTCCGTGTATGTATCTATTTGCCTGTACTCTGTGCAGAAAGGTTTGAATAAAGATTAATGCCTAATCATCACTTCGAGGCAAAATTGGTACATTAAATGTGAGTGCACATGCAATACTGCTACAGCATCACATTCCCTCGCTCATAAAAAGTGTTTACAGTGCAACATTCCCTGCTAGTGGCAATCGTAAATCCAGCTGATTTATCCAGGAACATTTCGACATACAATTCTATTTTGAGTTAGTTCTAAAATGCTGAATGTAACATTTAAGAACAAAGTCAATTTCATTTTTGAAATCAGCTGTGATCCAGTTAAGTTCTTGACAACCTGGAACTGTTTTACAATATATTGCAACACTCTCCTTTGGCCAACACATGGTTCTATCGAGTATTCTTGATGTAAATATTTTTAAAAGTTTTGCAAGTAAAATTGACTTAAAAACATGTTTAGACCCAAATTGCTCAAAACAATTCTATTGTAAATCAAATGTATTATTTGATTTGTACGAGAGCAATGTGATATATTGTAAAACTTTATGGGCAAGATATTTTCCACATCGAAATTAGGATACACAGAATGTCTGACAACAGTGTGTTTATTATAATTTATATGGTTCTGTAGCTTTCTACAATATTTTAACTATTAAATAATCATTCACAACAAAGTGAGAAGTGCATACGAACAATGCATAATAATTTAAAGTTTAAAACAGAATAATACTAGTTTTTAAAAATCTAATTTGTAAATAATAAAGCAGTACTTAAAAACAGAAAATGCATCCACCATCTAAACCGGCATTTAAATCAAATTAAATAGAACCACTGTAAAAATGTATCTTCAAATATTTAGTAGAAATATACTTTTATTAGCTCTTATACACCTATAAATTATTTTAAGAAGAAATATGTATGATATAATCATCCAAAATATTTATAGACTTAATTTTCTTAATAGATTAAGTTCTACATCTAGCCATTTGCAGCATTATAAAAGGATAACTCCTCCATGCTACATTTTCATCATGATGTTTGCTTCTTACCAAACCTATCTTTCATCATAAATGTTACATTTTTAGTGCATCTTTGATGGCCATAGCTAATGATAGCCATAATAAATCCATCATGTCAAAACAAAATCATTAGATACAATACAAATCTAATACAATGTACACAATTTGCAATAAATAATGTGAAAACTTACTGAAAGGGAAAGTACTTTCTACTAAACTATCTATAATCGGAAGCATCAAAAAGAGATATCTCTAGATATATTGGTGCCTCAGTCACTGAAAGTTGTTCCTGTTTTATATTTTGAACTACTGGTTGGAGGCAGCCAGAAAATAAACATTGTATATAGAACTTTTCTCGTTGTAATATGAAGTTACATCCATCGAAACCATGAATTTCCTCGGGCTCCATTATCCCCATTCCCAAATCCAGTAGAAATACCTTCATGATACCACAATTGTAGAAGTTATGCACAAAATGCCTGTACTACCCAGCAATTTTAAACCATGAAGCAAAACAATGATGGTTAATGGAGACAAGACTGGTAAGTGTAGAGACCTTTCCCTTTATTATATTTTGGATTATGGGGTAATTCAGTAGAATGTATGTTGCCTTTAAAATATTAAAAATTAGATCAATAATGCAAATTTTAAGAATACGATTTTTAAATTGTGAATAAATGTAAATATCTAGAATTGTTTTAATCTAAGCAATCCACTGGTGCACTGACCTACAGTCCTCCGTAAATGAGCCAAAGGATGTAGGTCTGCACCTGTGACTTAACCTGCAAGTTCCTGATCTTGGACAGGACACCTTAGGTGATGTAAAATGGTATGAATGGATGCAAGATGGAGAAAAGAAATTTGGAAGAAGAGTTCTCCCTTCCCTCCCACAAATGTCTAAGCAGTTGATTCTCGAGAAGCAGCAGTAGTGATATAAAGTTACTACTAAACTCCGAGAAAGTTAACTAACTCTTAGCATCAGTCAGGTTAGAGTGTGTTACAAGAGGTTACTTTAATACTGGAGGTGTTATCCAAAGGACTTAAAACAAAAGTTTAAAAAAAAATTGGCTGCTGAGTTTCGCCCACAAAATATACAGTCAATTCACTTTACAGCATATTCTGTGAAGCGCTTTGAGACGTCTAGAAGACGTGAAAAGCACTATATCAAATGCAAGGATTATTATTATTATAAAAGTATTGCTTGGTAACTTTTCATAAGCACAAGGTTAGGTAACCTTCTGTAACACTATATCTGTAGTAAAACATGCACTGGAATTAGAAATATTGCACTAAGTATTGCACAGTGCAGGTTATAACTATAAATCAGTTATTGCTACAAACCTGACAAGTGTCAATAACCAGTTAGATGACAGTACATCACTAAAATGTAAAATTCTGTTGAGATGAGTAACTTTCAGAAGTGTAACTGCAATGAACTTCAAACAGTAAACATTGATCACAATCTATTTCTGAATCTTAACTTCATTCAGATACAATCTCCGCATTCTCGGTCTCCTCGTCGTGCTCTTTCACTTCAGCAGTATGAAGACATTCTGCAAAAGATTTCCCAAGATCGCGAATCTCTGATGTGTGATCACAAACACTCCCATAGTCGATGGAATGGACCGCATGTTCTTCATGTAATTTGCATAGGTTTTCTTCATGGTTTTCAGACAGGGAATGGTCTGCCTGTTTCGTTTGCAATCTGCAGACATCTTCTTCATCCTCATTCTTCGTAGCCAGGGAATGATCGACATGTGCCTTATGCAATCTGCAAATGTTTTCCTCAACCTCATTGCTTACAATCAGGGAATGGTCTGCATGTTCTTTATGTAATCTGCAAGTGGTTTCCTCATCACTTACAGTCAAGCAATGGCTTAAGTGTTCCTTATGTAATCTACAAAGGTTTTCCTCATTGTTTATAGCCAGAGAATACTTTCCTTCAATGTCATGAAATTCATGGTTTTGTTCCCTACTAACGTGAGAATGATGGTTTCCTGTAACGTTCTGGGGGTAATGAGCATGGATTCCACATTCGCCATGAAATACATGATTCCATGAATAGTTGCTTCTACAGTCTGTTGAAATATCAGCAGTTTTACTAGCACAACAATTAAATTCCATTCTCTGGTATTTTTCCACAGTTTCATTACCAGTGGTTCTCCAGGTTTTCAACTCCGGTTTACAACCCAAATCTTCTTTTAACACATCCAGGAGATGGCGTAATTTACTCTGCATGATCAACACAAATTGAACAAATAAGTATAAGAATAATCCTTGCATTTCTAGAGCGCCTTATCATGTCGTCAAGACGTGTCAAAGCGCTGTAAAGTGGATTTCTGTGGGCAAAACAGTTTCAGTGTATATAAAAAAAATGGGTATGAAAGGGAACAATCATGCAAGTGCTGTTTTGTTACTTTTAATATGGCATCCCTCTTCCAGGATTGTGAAAGCAGTATCTCTAACTTGCTAAAGTTAAATGCAAATGTAAAAGTTATTATTATTAAAGGCACCACATCTTGCAAATGCATAACAACTGCTAAAGTGAAAGAAGCACAAAGTCAAAGATAATTGCTTTTTTCTCTTTGACTACTGTCATATTTCTATAACAGGGGAACTACTTATATGGGCCAATGTATGGATTATGAAACTCACTGTTCCCATACAGCAGCTCATGCCAAATGTTTCCTTTGTACAGAGAAAATAAATTGAAGTGTTTTGTGGTGCATTAACTAAAACTTCCAAACCTATAATCTGGCTGTATCAGCTATTTCACTCTAAGCTTTACTAACTGAGCCATTGGGGCAGCCGTTAGTATCCAAGTACCAAAAGTAAATTTATGCAGTTGGTAAAACTAAGTTTCTAACAGGTACCTATTTTAACATTTAGAATGTAACTTTAAAAGTTACATTTCTGTCTTACGGTCAAGAATATTAGAATGTATTTGCATTAATTATAAATTTCACATAACATTATGTTACCAATCTTTTTTAGTTCAAGTTTAAAATCTACCAATAAACATTAATACTTTTACCCATGTAAAGTGTGCGGATATTTTGAAAGTACTGAACCCAAGAAGTAATACTTACTTCATCTAGACGATGCTTGTTTTGTTCTATATAACGTTCACATATTCTTATTAAAACCCTGAATAAAAGATCAAAATAAAGAGGTTATATTATTAATGCACATATCTCCATATCATCACCAGGACCACCACTTTTCGAGCTCGGGCCATCTTACTTAATAGGGCTTTGGTTTGCAGGGTAAACAGGATCCAAGTAGAAAGAATATTATTATTATTATTAATAATGCTTTCAATGAATCTACCCTTCCAAGTTCTTCTAATGAGCCGCCCGGGTTGTGTTGACAAAAGTACTGCGTCTGGTGCAGCAACCGGCAACCGAGACCGGCTCAGAGGGTTAAAATGATTCTGACTATCCATTGCCAAGCACATCACCTCCAAGGAGACCCCCGCTTACCTCCTTACCTTCTCCCCACCCCATCTCCATCCCCACCCCACCTCCATCTCCCATTAGAAACCTGTTATATCTCAAATTATGTGAAATTGTAATCACCAAATCTCTTGGCACAATTTTATTCAGAAGCACAATTAAAGATGTAGTTCAGGAAGCAAATTGTTTACCTGTTTGAAAATAATCCTAGAGTCAATATTTCCTTGGTAACGTCAGAGATGACTTCAAGATACTTTAGTTCTTCCTCTCTGTTTGGGAATATATGTACAATAAGGCAATTTCAAGGACACTTCTTATTTTTTATATTTAAACAAATCAATACAGCGTACGTATTTCCATTCTCTAACTCAAATCCATTGCAATACACATACTGGATAGAACAAAGCGGTAAATTCAGTAGGTTTTTTAAGGCTTTTTAATTCCAGCCATGGAACGTCCAACATTTGTTGATTGGATGACACCAATATGATTTGTGTAAATAGTACCATTATTCGTGAGAAGAAAAGTAATTACGTGGAAAGCTGTGTTGGAAAAGCAAATTGATTAGAGCACTCGCTTTGCTAGTGAGAAACCTGGGTTTGAATCACGCCTGATAATAGGCCCTCAAAAAAAAATTGGTGATTTCAAACCACGACTGTTTGTGGGGCACTGCTGTGCTCAATTGGCTGTCGCATTTTGTCCACAAATATACATCACTCACTTTACAGTCTATTCTATGAAGTGCTTTGAGACGTCTAGAAGACGTGAAAAGCGCTATATCAAATGCAAGGATTATTATTGTTATTAAATGCTTTATGTAGGTTTATTATATAATACGAGTGCCTGAATTCTCTTCAATTACAACTAATACCAGTCCAATTTAAAAGAAAACTTCTTATGGCTTTCTAAATTGTATTTGCTATTGTTAATGGGACAATTAAATACTAACCACAGTTTAATTCAAACATTTTATTAAAAAAACTCATACAATACACATCAGCCACTAATTCCCCTTTTGGCTATTTATAAATGCTCCAGATTTCCCACTAACATTATCTACTACCTTTTGGGTTTTCTGGAGAACAAGATTAACTTTACAACAAATTCTAAGATCATACCCCACTTACTCTGCTCGAATCTTTCTCATAATTGGTGACTTCATTCTTTTTGGTAAGGATAACCTGAAGGCAATTCATTTTGGAAAGAGAAAAAAAGTTATTTACCATCTTTTAACGATATGAGGTTCCAAAGTGAAACCTCCACCCCTTGTTTTTTTGCAATGAAACATTACAGTGAAACTGGTAACTAGAACTATTTACGGTAAGACAGTAAGTTTCTGTATAAATACAGTCACTATATTTCACACAAAATTTTGTGAAGTGCTTTGAGACATCCTTCCAGTGTAATTAGGCGCTTTACCAAATGTAATGATTATTATTTATATAGTCTGTCCCCATTAATAATACAGCAGTTGAGGTCCATAAAAATAGTGTACAACTTTAGTAGAGGATATTAAATAGGTCTCAGTATATTTTGAGAAGACCTGGTGCAGGAATTCACCTTAAGATTTAGCTCAAACAAGACATAAAGGACAAAGTGTTCTTTCTGCTGCTTTCATATTCTTTCCATCAATCTGGGTTGAGAGACTGGTGGATGGACTGAAACTGAATCCACCGCTTGAACAGAATTTAACAGAAATTGGCTTAATAAATACTACTTTTTGAAATACATTTGTAGAGCTGTGAGATGGTGAACATAAATACAATTGTAGTTCGGATGACACAATATCTTTTCCTTCTCCTCAGTTGGATCTTTTGCAACAAGACATTTCATACGTACACCGATGTAGAGTAGTTATCTGCACTGTGCTCAAAACTATCTTTCTGCCTTTTGCTGTGCAAATGGTGAGCAAAAACCTTCCTGTCCTCCAGTTCTTCTGCAGACCACATCTGCCCATTTTGAGAATCCTAGCAAGACAAAGGACACATTTTTATTTGCAATTCTACTGAAATTAACATAGCATTTATGATTACCATTAGGCTCCATAAGGCTTGATATTTACATTCTAAGGAATTGCTAGTACACCTCATTAATTCTGCAATATAACACAATATAGTCTGCAACTTGAATTTATTTTTAAGTTTCAATTTCAGGAATATTTGTTTCAACTTTGATATGGTTTGTCAAACTTTGAGAAAATAATTATATTATCACTTGCTCCACAAATGCTTTTGATCTACAATACGTTCAACACATTCAGTCTTATCATGTTGTACTTGGGAAATGTGAAGACTTAAATCTTTCAGCAAAACACTTTTAAAATTGTCCAGCGACACAATTGACTGGTTGTCGCCTAACCTGCTGTGGTGCCAACTGTGAATAATTCCTCTTCTCCTGTGAATATACATCTTGAAAGCTGTAAAATATAAATAAATAAAATCCTTACATTTGATATAGTACCTTACATGGTCACGAGGATATCCCCAAAATGCTTCACAGATACACTGTAAAGTGCAGTGACTGAGTGGCGTAGGCGCAACTTAAATTAGTGTGATGGCAGCTAGCAGGATACTATTAGACATAAAAACAGAAGTCGCTGGGAAAACTCAGCAGGTCAGACAGCATCTACGGAAAGAGGAGGATGTGTTAATGTTTCAGGTCGATGACCTATCGTCAGAATCTCTCCATAGAATTTGCCTGACTTGCTGAATGTTCTCAGCGACTTCTGTTTTTGTTTCAGATTTCCAGCATCTGCAGTATTTTGCTTTTGGAGACTATTAGACCTGTCATCCAAGCTGATGTTTTTGGTCGGTAAAGCCTGTCTTTACGCAGCAGACAGCTCCGTAAAGCTGTCTGTTTACTAACAAAATGGAGATACTCTCTTCACTCTAAGGAAGCAAAGTATTTCAAACACTTTTTTTTTAAATGGTTGTCTTCCTGGGGGGGAGTTCTTCATATTAAAAGTATTTTCCCTCCTTTAAACTGTCTTGTTGACACAGGGTTGCTGTCAATGTAATTGAAATTCGCAAAGCATAAAAGGTACCAAACACCTGAAGAATAAAGTGTGGGACTGGATTCCAGGGTTAAGGTTGTTTCAGTTTTTGTGTGGTAACAATGCTGGAAGCATCAGGAGAAAATGGTCCTCATTAACAGGGCTTTACAGTACCTGTCAAAATCAGTCTGCGTTTCTTGCTCTATCAGTATCTTTCTTGACTTCTGTTTCTTCTGTACAGGAGTGTAAAACCTGTACTGGGACAGAAAGGACTGTGCTTCATTTTTCAGAATACGTGGAGTAAACGGTTGATGCCCATCTGTGAAATGGTGAGCATGTTTCTCTAAAACATCACCGCTGTAGGTTTTTTGGTGGGGATCCTGAAATGGTCTGTAGCAATGCTGGCTGTTGGCATTCGTCGATGATGAATCAAAAGAAATGCCATGACGCTGTCGTTGGGATGCCGAGATTCCGTCATTCAGGTCAGAGTAGGCCCTACTGGAGATTTTCTCAATGGTTTCTTTACCAATGTTGGAAGTGGAGGGCAATACTGAATACTTCTCTTTCGAAGAAGCAAAGGACCGGGCTGAATGCACATAATTTTCTAAATCTGTGGATGGCTCATTGCGTAGCAGTATGGAAGGATTCTGTAAAAAGGGAAACAAACTGTAAAAGAAACTAGGCTCTGAAATGTACTGACATACTTGTGCAGGTTTTAATATATGACTCTCCACCCAAACATAAACTGTGAATACAAACACCTCCGAAACATAGTTTTCATTAGCAGATGTTTTATATATGGCTCCCATGAGCATGGTTAGAAGGAGGTAATGTTTCAGTACAGGGACGTTATCTGAAGAAACCATCTTCCAATGTCACCCCATGACATTAGGGCAAAAAAATGCCCTATAGGGCAAAAAAATTGTCAAAATGCAATTTAATTCATGATTTATGGACAACATTCAGTTGAGTTATGACTTGTTACACAATTGTTACACAATTCCTATTGGCAAAGTACCACCAAATTAATACAAATTAACAGGAAGGTTCTCAGACTATCTATGGTCGTCCTCATGCATTGCAAAGTTAAGCCCTCACATACTAAACACCAACTCAGCGTTCCCTTGATCAACATGTAGGATTAGGATTGGGAGGGAGGAAATTTAGTGAGAGATATTGTCCCCATAAGAACGTTGCACCGTGGCTTGTCATTTCTACTTCATGCCTGTTCGTTAAAAAAAAACTGTTCCTAGTTTATTGAGCAGAGAATTCAGGTTATTTGTAAATTGTGCAGCTGTGAGGAATGCTATGAGATGTCCTCCCAATGTGAACAACTTGCACTTATATAGCACCCTCCACGCAGGGTAGCATCTCTGAGCACTTAAGAGTGGCGGAGTCTGACTCCGAGCCGGGGGGTGGGGGCTGGTGGGGGGTGGGGGGGTGGGATGGCCATAAGCACTGTTGAAGTGGAAAGTTTTCAAGCGGCACTTGAAAAAGGGAGTGCCCCTTATAGAAGGCTTTTTAAACTTTTCTTTAAACACGACTTGTACAAGATTCCACGTTTGCTTAAGATGAGGGGTAATATAATTGATATTACATATATGTGATACAATTCAATACAAGTTTCTCGCATAATGTATACGAGGATCTTACGGACTTTATTACATTTACGTTACATATGATTTATATAACATCTTTCAAATTCTGAATCATAAGTAATCAATCTGTAGAATTCCATCTGTTTAAAGGTTATGCTGTGACTATAAATACTTCACAAATTGAATCTGGAGTTTTAAATATCTACATGATTTTAACTTGCTTATTAATTCAGTTAAAAAAAAACTTCCTGTGTTGTTTAAGTGACTCAAATTCATTGAACATTTCAAATACAGTAGAGGCTAGTTATATTCACAAGTTTAAATGAATAAAAAAAACAGATAAAGTTGGTTGTAATTCTGGCTACCAAGTTATAGAATCATAAAATATTTATTCTGCACTGAAGCCAACAACTCTAATACCATTCCCTGCTCTTTTTATCTTTCTCTAATATTACCAAACAGTTTAGAATTTTACATGAATACACGAAGTATTAGGACAGACCATTGTTTTTATAAGGACGAAATACTGGTATTCTGGATGTGCCCATTTTGTTTGCTGTCTTTCTATGATTCAAAATAGTAACATTACAATTATTAATGCTCCAACATCAAAAATACGGAGATATCTGGATTGCTATTCTCTCCTGTTCTCAGAGGCAGCAATTTATTTTCTCAGCTCCAGGAAAACAATCTCTGACTCACTGTCTTATTGCAATGATATGTCATAGAGCCCAAAATACTGTGAGTTAATAAATTTGCCTCAAGGGATGAATTTCAGTACGCAAAGCAACTAACCATTTAAAATGCCTGTGCTATGCCCCATGTAGAAAGATAAGATCCAGTGGTAGTTATATTGCGATATAATACTAAATGAAAAGGATTATTTCAATAATCTTGCTATAATGATGTAACAACCATTAATTCTTTTCTGTGAACATGATGCATCACGTATAAAATTACTGACTTGAATAATTATGCATTATATCCACTATGAAACTGTGATGCAGTATTTGGATATCCAGGCAGGCAACACAGCCAGAATACTTGACACAGCTGATCAATTTTCTGTGTAAGACTAACAGTTTGGTTCTATTCTGCAGCTGAAAATTATGAACCAGCAGATATTTTACGATGCATGGAAACTGGCCATTCTGCCCAACTAGTCAACCAGCTCAATGAGCAAACGTACCTGGGAAATCTCTGTTGGCCCTTCATCGTACCCACAGCTTGACTGAGAGTCTGACCTTGAGGAATTGTACCCCTTTTCATACCTTGCAACCTCAGGTTGTGGTTTATTCCTTCGCAACTGATCACGGTCTTAAGAACAAAAATGGAATAAATGCATCAGTCCAGTACGATTGTTGTACGAGGACTTTTAATTATATTTCCTCTTTCAGTCAAATCTTGCACATATCCACCAGCCAGAGATTTCTAAAGCTAATTAAATCTAGAAATCTGGTCTGTGTGGCTTTTTGCCACCTTTGCAAGTGTCTTCACCCATTAGACCGTTGAATTATCTCGAAGTAATTTCCAAAGATTCTGGTTAATTTATTAGGTGTATTAATGATGCTTTGGACAATAATAGTATTCAAATTCAATTTCTATTGATTGCAGTTTGGCAGCTATTGTGCCAAACTGATTACCATACCTACATTAGTTATCTTTTACAATGCTAAAACATTCATGAAGTACAATACTGAGACATCTAAAGACTATTATGATTGTAAGAGGAAGGGAAAACACAGAAGTGAACAATTCTACCCGACTGAGTGTCCCGAGGTTTATAGGATTTTGTGTGATGAGCTTTTAGCTTTTTTGCAACACAGGGAAAATGCAGGAATGAGTTGCAAGACTTTATACGCTGGCAAATTTGGAACTTGGGAGAAGCAAGTAAATATGTAAGAAGTGTCTGGGATGTCTTATAATATTCAGTGTTAGAATGAACCACAGTATATATTCTATATATTTTTGTTTCAACAAAATTCTTCTTCACAATCAACTAACTACTTACACTTAACACAAGACAGCATGCTTTTTGGTACAGAACAATCCACTGAAGCTGTAAAACAAAACACACAAATCATCCTTTTTTAAAAGATCGAGATAAGATCTTTGAAGCAAAACCTTCTCACAGTAGTTACCAAACACTGTGGACAAAATGCAATCATTCCTTGTTTGCAATCTGAAACTGATTTCCAAGTTAAAATTCCAATCTCTAAATAAGTGCCAGCGATGAGTATACTGCACGTTTTATAATATCAGAAGCTTTGCGGAGTAGTATAAAACAAATCACACAATACCAAATGGCTTTTTATAATAAAATTATTGATTTTGTATTACATAGCAAAATTGACATGGCGACAAGATCATGCATTCTCATGTAGACCCATTGTATAAAGCACACAAAAAAACAGAACAAGTGACAGTTCATTCAGCATCATTTCCCCAGCACTAGGTGGCTCTCCAGCCCTCATATGGGACACTGGTCTGTAAAAGAAAATTACAATACTCGAGTTCCAAGATACTTTCTTATAATTAATTTTGCTGAAAAGATCAACCCACTTTTTTTTAACGACTGAAGGCTTCGGGTGCACAGAGACATACAGTGAAGTATTAATGCCACACAATTAGATTGACTTGTTCTCATTCTGGAGACCTCACAGGTTACTACCTTTAGCACAGAGGATTCTGTTGTAGTGAGTTGCCATGTGCTCCCGGATATGTTGCTCATCAGTCAGATGCCTGGAACAGCTCGCACTGTGAACTAAGTAGGAAAACAAAACGTGTTACCCCTACAAAATACACAGTCACTACACTTTACCTGTGAAGGGCTTTGAGACACCTCAACAACACTGCAGTCTCTGCAACAGCAACAACCTCCACTTCCCACAGGAGGCTTCCAGGACCTCCAAACCCCGCTCCCTACCGGTAGCTCCAGGCCCCTCCCCCCACCGGTAGCTCCAGGCCCCTCCCCCTACCGGTAGCACCAGGCCCCTCCCCCTACCGGTAGTACCAGGCCCCTCCCCCTACCGGTAGCTCCAGGCCCCGCCCCCTACAGGTAGCTCCAGGCCCCGCCCCTACCGGTAGCTCCAGGCCCCGCCCCCTACAGGTAGCTCCAGGCCCCGCCCCTACCAGTAGCTCCAGGCCCCGCCCCTACCGGTGGCTCCAGGCCACGCCCCCTACCGGTAGCTCCAGCCCCGCCCCCTACCGGTGGCTCCAGGCCACGGCCCCTACCGGTAGCTCCAGGCCCCGCCCCCTACCGGTAGCTCCAGGCCACGGCCCCTACCGGTAACTCCAGGCCCCTCCCCCTACCGGTAGCTCCAGGCCCCTCCCCCTACCGGTAGCTCCAGGCCCCTCCCCCTACTGCTGGCTCCAGGCCCCCCCCTACTGGTAGCTCCAGGCCACGGCCCCTACCGGTAGCTCCAGGCCACGGCCCCTACCGGTAGCTCCAGGCCCCTCCCCCTACTGCTGGCTCCAGGCCCCGCCCCCTACCGGTAGCTCCAGGCCCCTCCCCCTACCGCTGGCTCCAGGCCCCGCCCCCTACCCGCCCTCCTTGCGGCCCACCCGGGAGATGGGGGGGGGGCTATTGATGCGCATGCGCACGCCGATACTACGGCCGTTGAACCCGACTCGGCACCGACCTCTTCAGCCTTAAAGCCCCTCAGAGGACAGGACTCTGTCTGCAGTCTGTCTGTCTGCCGCGAGCGCGCGCGCGCCCCACACACACCTTTCTTGCTGCCCATGCCGAGGCTGATTTTTCCCATACTCTCGGAAGGGACGACAAAGTCGGGTTTATTTTCGTCTGGAGGCGCGAAACGCCGTCATCGTCTGGGCGGAGGGAGGGAGAGAGAGAGAGAGAGGCGCGGCCGCCATTGCCGGCTCCGGGGGGCTGCGCTGCGTCCTCCTGCGCGTAGGTGGGCGGGGTGGGTGGGGGGGGGGCGGGCCCGAGGGCGCCGGCAGCCAATCACAAGCGGGGAGGCGGGGGGGAATCCTTACGTACTTGTGGCATCACGGTCACCATGGTGACGGGGCCGTCAATCATCTGGGGACCAGTGGATGACAAGTGTCTGGACCTTGTTACTGATGTGCAATAATAATATAATAATAATAATAATAATCCTTGCATTTGATATAGCGCTTTTCACGTCGGGAGGACGTCCCAAAGCGCTTCACAGATCACACCGGTCAAGTGAATTGACTGTATATTTGTGGGCGAACGCGGCAGCCAATTGCGCACAGCAATGTCCCACAAAGCGTCGTAGATTGAAAATGACCAATTTGTTATTGTTGTTGGTTTTGGAGGGATTATTATTAGGCTCTGTGTGGAGTAAGGAAACTTGCCCGAGGTTTCGCCCTGACCTGCCGGGGATTGAACTCTGGTCTCTCTTAATAATAATACTTGCATTTGATACAGCGCCTTATTGGGTCTTTGAGACGTCTCGAAGCGCTTCACTGGATTGTCTGTCGTGTGCTTCAACCACACTCTATCAATAACTTCCAGCGCTTACCAGGCGTGTGGAGATCTCGGCATTGTGCGTATCCAGTGACTGTTCCGCGTATTTCCTTCTCTCTATCTGCGTCCACACCTTAATAATAATCCCGCAAGAATAAATAAATGAATCAATTAATAATAATTTGATCACTCTAATCCACGCCTGTTTGTGGGACGCTGCTGTGCGCAATTGGCTGCCGCGTTTCGCTCGTAAATATCCAATCGATTCACTTTGCAGTAGATTCTGTGAAGCGCTTTAAGACGTCTGGATGACGTGAAAAGCGCTATAACAAATGCAGAGATTATTATTATTATTAAAGACATTCATGGATCTCTTGATAAGCCCATGGGGGTTCTTACATCAGCTTGGCTCATTAATTTACTCCCCATTGCTTCTCTCAGAAATCTCCCACCCTAGGCAGATGCCTAGTTTGCTTACAGCTAGAGTGCCCTCTGCCCCCTATGCCCTTGTTTTGGATCTCTTCACCAGAGGGAAAAGTCATCCCCTGTCTAGATTGTCAATTTCCTTCATTATTTTAATACTTTACTCAGATACGGAAAATATAACCCAAATTTACTCAGCCTATTTTGCATAGCTAAGCCCTTTCACACATTGTTGGATAACAATGCTGTTCTATGTTTCTTCTGTTTATTTTATCCTTGTTTTTCCTACATGCCACACATTATTGCCTAGCAAAGATAAAAACACAGACTCTCAAGTCCCTGCAAATGATATTCTGCATTTGAATGTAGAATATGTGCAAGGATAACTAAAGCTGACATACTTTCCAATTTTTTCTCCCTCCCTGTGAGAAAGCATTAGGTTGCTATCTCTCCTGATAAATCCCAGAATATACAATTTGGAGAATCACAGATGCAAACCCAAGTCCCACGGGTGATTTGCTTCATTAATGTGCTGTGGCAATTAAACTACTTACAACACTGGAATATTTTGAGATAGTGTAAATCATAGTGGATCTAAACTCCAGGAGATAAACTTTGGAACAATGAACAGCATTGAGTATAGACAGCACCAAAATTGTACAGCAGTAAACTCCATAAAACAAGTTTCCATATCTATGAAAGAAATTCTGACTTTTGGAAATGGAAATAGACTATATAATATACAGTACACATACAACCATGTACTAATGCATGTACATGTTTAGATTAACATGTATTAACAATCACACATACTCTTGCTACATAAACACCAAACATGGAAATAGGTATCTATCTACATATATCACGTATCATTGAGATGTCTCAAAGCATTTCACAGAATATATTGTGAAGTGAATTGACTGTATATTTTGAAGGGCAAAACATGGCGGGTGATGGATTGAGTGACCAAATATTTTTATAAGAGATTATTAGCCCCGGAAAGTGATCTGGCAATCGACTAACAACCGGTTTTCTACTTACCGCTAGGAAAACAGAAGCATTTGGAGTAAGGAAACTTAGCTAAGATTTTGCCCCGCCCAATATAAAGAAGTATACCTGATTAAAAAATGCATACTGCACTAAGTTTCTGACTTCAAAACACTAATAACTTACAAATACGCAAATTACACCATCAGATTTATAAATGTAGATGTAAGTAAGAATGAATTTCGAATTCCCTATTATGTTTTTTGTGCTTAAAGACAGACACGACATCATAAACTGAAATGAGACTACTATTCCCTGTGGGGCTTATTTAAAAACAAAAGAGTTAGCAATTTACATTCCCAACAGCCTGAACTCAAGTGTTCCTTTGCGATTTGAGCTTTCCTCTCGACCAAGGAGGTCGCTTAGAAAAGGGAGAAACTATGTACAATTTATATACAGAGTGAATTAAAAGTTCTTACTCGTAAGTCTATATGAGATGTTCAAACTGCATACCATGTAGACGTTTACACATATCAACTCGATGACAAAAACGTTCACAAACACGGTGAATGACATCTGCTGTAATAATAGCTGTGTACTCTTCAAATGTTATCTTAAAAAAAATTTAAATCTCTATAAGTAAGGACTTCTGATCCACCCTTTGTACACACATATATGTATATATAAAATCTTTGTAATATATAAATCTTTCGATTTGAATTTCTGTGTTGGCTAAGATCTCGTCATCTCTGTCAAAACGGTACCAAATAATGGTATGTTTATTTCTGCAATCTATTCTGTTGCAATCCCCATATAAGGCCCCTTTATATGGAGATTGCACACAGAGATGACTGGTTGAATTGATGATGCTGGTGAGTCAGGTCCTTGGAAAAGGGGTCACTGATCTTTGCAGAATGAATGAAGACAAAAGAGATGGGCAAGCCATAGAAATCTTCCTGCAACACCTTAAGTACTGCAGTAGTATGCTACACTACTGTACTGTACGTCCGAGTTTTAAATTTGTCTTCTTTGTTCAAACGAAATAGATGCATTTTTAGAGCTTGTTTTACACGACCGAGTCGTTGCAGGGTACGAATATTGAGCGTGCGGTTTATAAGCCACGACTTTTTGCGGGGCAGTTGCCGGGCGCAATTGACCGCCGCGCTTCGCCCACAAAAACGCGCAGTCAATCCACTTTTTTGGCGATACATTCCGCGCAGTGCTTTTGAGACGTCTCAAAAGGCGCTGTATCAAAGGCAAGGATTATCATCAATTATTATCATTAATAACTTGATTGATTGATTGATTGATTAAAAGAATAATGGAAAGGATTAAAACGACACAATTCGCCCACTGTCTCCTTCCCCCTCTCCCTGCACAATTGCTTCCCTGTGTTTTTTTTTGTGTGGGGGTAAAACAAAACACACACCCTTATAAGATGCCATCCACCCACACACACGCCTTTGTTCTCGCTTTGTCCCTCTGAGAGTCAGTCTCTGGTGCTTCGCCCCTGTGCTGGTGGCCCAAGTGATACCTGGAAGAATAATTCTATTTTATAAACCACCCCCCCCCCCCCACCCCTCTCTGGCCCCCTGTCCCCCTGCCCATACAATAACACACTCTTGCACTCACAGGTACATGCATCTGATATTGATTATACAAAACGACAAGAACCCTATTACTCTGCAATGTTTGCGTACAGTATGGATCCAATAGACTTCTAACTAAAGAGCATGTTTTTTTCTGCAGATGCGGCAGAAATAAAGTCGCACACCAGCTCTAACATACTGCATACACACCAGCTCTAACATACTGCATACACACCAGCTCTAACATACTGCATACACACCAGCTCTAACATACTGCATACACACCAGCTCTAACATACTGCATACACACCAGCTCTAACATACTGCATACACACCAGCTCTAACATACTGCATACACACCAGCTCTAACATACTGCATACACACCAGCTCTAACATACTGCATACACACCAGCTCTAACATACTGCATACACACCAGCTCTAACATACTGCATACACACCAGCTCTAACATACTGCATACACACCAGCTCTAACATACTGCATACACACCAGCTCTAACATCAGGATACATATCAGCAATGCATCGGACAGGGCAATTGGTGAAACGTTACATTCATTCATCACAGGCTCTCACAATGCAAGAACACAGGTGCAATCTTGCTATCATAATATATAACATAAATACACAATATATGCATACAATCAAATAATATATATACACAGTATACACGAAAATATATATATATATATTAGTATACATCATATAAAACAATATTAACAGTCCTGTGTATCCATATTAATATGTTCTATGTGCATTACACAAATGGGGCTGCATGTGCTGTGTGTGTGTGTGTGTGTGTGTGGGTGTGTGTGGGTGTGAGGTGCTCCTGGTCGTGATGGAGTGAAGCAATGGGTTGGGAGTGAGAGTTCCTCCTGACGCCGCCTGATCTCACCGTCCTTCCTCCCTCTTTGTGTAGTGAGGAGGTGTCTCCTCGCTCTCTGCCGCAGGACACACACCACACACAGCCATGTGTTGTCCACCCAAACCACAGGGTAGTCAGCAACCACCCAACTCCTCCACCCAACACAGCCTCACCCCCCACACACACCCACACACACACCCACACACACCCACACACACACCCACACACACACCACACATACATACACACACACACACCCACACACACACACCCCCACACACACACCCACACACACACACCCCCCCCCACACACACACACACCCACACACACACCCACACACACCACACACACACCCCCACACACACACACCCACACACACACACACACACACACACACCCCCCACACACACACACCCCACACACACACCCACACACACACACCCACACACACACCCACATACACACACCCCCACACACACCCACACACACACACACCCCCACACACACACACCCACACACACACCCCCCCCCACACACACACACACCCACACACACACACACACACACACCCCCACACACACCCACACACACACACCCCCCACACACACACACCCACACACACACACCCCACACACACACACACACACACACACACCCCACACACACACACACACCCACACACACACACCCACACACACACCCCCCACACACACCCACACACACACCCACACACACACACACCCCCACACCCACACACACCCCACACACACACACACACCCCACACACACACACCCCACACACACACACCCCCCACACCCCCCCACCGCCTGTGTGTCTCCAGCCTCCACACCCCCCCCTCCCAATCCCCCCACCGCCCTCGAGCAGCTATTTGCTCCTTATGTGATATCCTTTTTTTTTAAAAAAAAAGAAATGGAATTGACATATGTGGGAGAGGCAGAGCGTTGCAACGCCTTCTGCAGTGTGAGATCATTCGTGCAGGAGACTCCCCATCACTGCTGAACATCACACAGCCTGAAGTTTATCGTTTGGAGGGGCTACATTTTTTTTCTCCCCATCTTTGTGTGCAATTATTTCTCTCTCCGTATACAGCGCATCGACTTTACTTCGGATAAAACGTGGGTAAGGGTGAGATGTTCCCCACACAGGATAGATAGACAGACAGATAGATAGATCTACAGATAAATATATATATAGATAGATCCACAGATAGATAGACATATAGATAGATCTACAGATAGATATATAGATAGATCTACATATATATATATATAGATAGATCTACAGATATATATATATAGATAGATCTACAGATATATATATATATAGATCTACAGATATATATATAGATAGATCTACAGATATATATATATATATATATATATAGATAGATCTACAGATAGATAGACATATAGATAGATCTACAGATACATAGATAGACAGATAGACATATAGATAGATCTACAGATAGATAGATAGACAGATAGATCTACAGATAGATATATAGATAAATCTACAGATAGATATATAGATAGATCTACAGATAGATAGATATATAGATAGATAGATCCACAGATATATATAGAGAGAGTCAACTCGTTGTCTTGAGCAAGCCTTGGTCCAAGGTGCTTTCTTCCCCCCCCCCCCCCCCCCACACCCCCACCCCAATAATTTTGTTTTTTTGGAAGCAAAGAAAGGGAAGCGTTTTGAACATCTGAGATGAAATTTCCAACGGAATCGTCGAGAAAACAAGCGAATCGTGACCCCCCAGGTTTGTACATGCAATGCAGTAAAAAAAAATATGTATTTTTGCTGATGTGGGAATATTCGTGTGGGCTGAGCTATTTGGTGACTGTCCACTGGCATTTAAGGGATTTGCACACACAAATATATATATATATGTATACATATATATGCATCTATGTGTGTACAGTATATATAAGATAAATTGATGGGAGAGATTGTCTGGACAATTACTTGAGCGAATGATGAATGTTCTTAAATACCAAACCTTTTGCTGACTTCGCCCTTATTTGCTGTGTGGGGGGAACGCGTTTTAAAGGGGCTTTTAGATTCCATATCCAGTCAAATATATTTGTGTGTGTATGTGTGTGTGTGTGATTAGTTACTAGTGCACTTTTAATTGAATGGTTGTGTATCCCCGTGCAGTTGAACTGTATTCCATAAGCTTTCCAGTATGGGATCACTTTGATTTTGAATTCTCATTCATTTGCCAATCGATAGATATGCTGGGAACATGAATTATTTTGTTCCCCCCCTCTCTCTCTCTCTCTCTCTCTCTTTCTATCTATCTATTTATTTTCCCAATTGTGAATCAATTCCCACAAATAGATCTATTCCCCTCCCTCCCTCTCTCTCTCTCTCTCTCTCTCTTTCTATCTATGTATTTTCCCAATTGTGAATCAATTCCCACAAATGGATCTATTCCCCTCCCTCCCTCTCTCTCTCTCTCTCTTTCTATCTATGTATTTTCCCAATTGTGAATCAATTCCCACAAATAGATCTATTCCCCTCTCCCTCTCTCTCTCTCTCTCTCTCTATCTATGTATTTATTTTCCCAATTGTGAATCAATTCCTGCAGATGGATCCCTTTCCGCAGCTGATCCGGATAGGTTTGCCTCAATGCATTAGAGAGAGCTATCTCAACCAGCACACCAGCTGTTAAAAAAAATACCCGCAGTCTATTGCGGAAACATAACAATTTTGTTTGGGGGGGAGGGAAGGGGGAGAACATAACGGGGGTAAAAAAAAAGAGATTTCTTGCACTGTTGTGTTCCATTGTGTCTCAGCATCTCATCGTGCAAAATTATATATTTATTGCTCCCTTTTTTTTATAAAAAAAAGAGAAATATATATCTGCACAGCATCTCTAACTTACTGGTCGTTGAACCATTGCAGAGGGGATTTCTGTGAAGCCATTTGCAGGGTTAGGGAACACAAATACAGGAATGTTAACACATGCATTTTGTGCTAATAGCTTATGGTTAAGAAGAACTTAGGTGGAATGGATCAATAGATGTACAATATATTACCTTAATCACTTTCAGAAGCACCGCCCTGCATATAAAAAAATAATGCCTCGATGGCATCAGAATGAAATAGTGGGGTGACAATTATTCCCAAGCTATCTGTTGATTTGCATCTGCCAAACCACCAACACTCTCCTCACCCTGATCTCAGGTTCCCTGTGTTTGTGGGAACCACAGTAAGGCATCTGTCCAAATAGACTGTAGTAAGTTAAAGCTTCTGCCACTGGATAGGCGATCAATCAATTCTTGCATTGCACAATACAATGTACCAGCGCAGTGTTATAAATGGGTTCTTGTTTGCCCCGAGAGGGAGTGTGGGCAGGTAACTGTTTTGCCCTTTCCTGGCAAATTGACCCTTTTCGAAACTTTCCTACTTAAATTGCTAAGTGCACCACAGACAGAGAGAGAGAGAGGGAAGGCAGGGTGGAGGAATAACTCACAGCAATGCACTTGCTTACTTGTTTCTTTCAAATGCATGCATTAAACAGGTATTTAAAATAGAGTGAGATGTGACCTATGGAAAATGATAAAAACTGCTCAGCTTCGTGTCTGGCATATCACGAATGGCATTTGGATGAGAGACACAGAGTATGCGTCGAGGTGACTTCCATCCCAAGGAGCTCATTCTGTTATATTAGTTGTTGGGAGACTTTGCGACAAGAAAGAACCAAACTGCAGAGATGGCATTTGTAAACCCTGATACCTCTTCCACCAAAGGGTGTTTGTTTCCCCCCCAGAAAGAAATTGTGTGCAAAGAAGGTAATCCACCTGACAAGGAATTCCCATCAGACATACAGGCTATAAAACTGCAGGGCACACAGTAACACGTTTGCTTACAAAGCATATCCAAACCAAATATGTACTGCATGCCTGAATTTGCAAAGGGTGGGCGTTTTTTCTGTTAGCCAGGAATCATCCTGGTGTCAGAGTCAGGGAAGAAATGGTTATTTATCTCAGTTTAAGGATATTGTCAAGAGACACAATATTTCGGCTCAAGGCAACTCAAGCCTGGATTGGTGAACAGCTGATGGGAGCCATTCACTCCATATTCGGTTAGGAAACGAACAAGGATTTCCCATTGATTGTCAATGCCCCCCTCAGCTTCTTAAAGGTCCACGGTGAAAAATATATAATCAAGATGAAGCACAATTGTGGGTTCTCTCTCTCTCTCTCTCTCTGCCAATACAACTATTGTTGTCCTGCTTGTAACCTTGTGTAGCGTGTGTTTAATTGGTGGCATTAGCAAGCGCTCTGGCGCCTGGGCGAGGGGCGCTGTATAAATGCAAGTCGTTGCTGTTGTTCTGAAGGCTCTGCTTTCATCTTGCAGTTGCGGTGGCGGTTCAGACCGCTGCGCAGGCCTGCGACCCTAAGGGTAACGGTCACTACCCTATGCCCAGGCTCTCCATCTCCTCCAGAACCACCATGGTAGCCAGCATGGACCTTGTGCCCCAGTCATCGCCCACAGTGATGAAGTGGAAGACCGTGCTGGCCATCTTCGTGGTGGTGGTGCTTTACCTCGTGGTCGGAGGCACCATCTTCAGAGCCTTGGAGAAACCTTTCGAGAGCAAGCAGAAGAACACGATCGCCGTGGAGAAATCAGAGTTTCTTCGAGCTCATCCCTGTGTGACCCCCATGGAACTCGACATACTGATTCTGGTAAGAGTATGCGTGAACAGCAGGTGTGCGCATGTGTATCAACTGTATGCTTAGAATGTACACCTGTGTGTAAATAGCATCAATCAGATACTGTTGTGTTTAAGTTGTCTTTTTCTTTGATAAAGGCAGATGGATTAAACATAGGAATATGAGAACATAGGAACAGGAGGAGGCCACCCAGCCTCTCGAGCCTGTTCCGCCATTCTAGTAGATCATGGCTGATCTGTACCACAACTCCAATTACCCGCATTTGCCCCATTATTCCTTGATACCCTTACCTAACCAAAATGCATCCACCTCAGCCTTGAAAATTTGAATGGATCCAGCAAATGCTTAGTACTCGACTGATAGACAAATTGCAGGATAACGTTTTATAAATATGTGTAGCATTTCGGAATGGCCGCGATATGAGAGGGAGAAATTGATCACAAATCTCCAAAACACGTTTCATTTTACACATTACACATGTTTCACTTTGGATGTAGATCCTGACTTACCACACAGTTATAATGTATTGAAATGGTTTCTACGTCAATTGGGTTAATGGCCTGTAAACAGCACACATGCTACACCATCTCCAGTCCATTGAGAAAGTGGCTTATTTGTGGCTATAAATACAAAGCCCGGCTTCCCAATCAAGTGTTAAGACTTTCATACAAATCAAATCAACCAGCAACCGTGAGCAATGATGGCACATAACATGTAATAGTAAGATTATTATACAGTTTGGGACACAACATGTGTATGCGACCGCCAGGATGGTGGAAGGTAAACTGGATGGACTTTGGTCTTCTTTCATCTAACAATTCTTATGTTCTTCTGTTAAAAAACTAATATAATTGCTGGCAAAATATCTGTTCAAGAAGAATATCAAATGTTACAAAATTAGGACAGATTGGTCACTTGTAGAAAGGCTATTTTAAAAGTATAGTTTCTGAATGTGTATTTTTATATATAACTTGGATGGTTGCGAAGGAAGTTTTTTTTTAACCATTTGTAACAAACTTGCTGTGCATTATTTTAATACACTCACATAACTTTGTTACAGTAGATACTGTCAGTTGAATAAGATTGGAATGTAATCATTGATGTTGTATTGCTAAGCAGGATCTTATTTGTGTTCAGGAAACTGCAATTAACTTATTAACATTCTGTCATTTCTCTCCAGCATGCAATTGATGCTCTTAGTGCTGGGGTGAGTCCTGTGGGTAACTCGTCTAATAACACAAGTCACTGGGAGCTTGGCAGTGCCTTTTTCTTTGCTGGGACTGTGATAACCACCATAGGTAATTTTTGAAACCTTGTTATCAATATTCATAACCACTTTGGAAAGAAAAAGCGTTTCAGTGCAACAGGTGGATGTAGATCAGTCTAGACTTGAGACTCTGTGATGAAATCTTGCCTCATTCGTCTTTTGGTTTGATTTATGATAACTCTCCTGTCACATATATACAATTAAATCCCTTCTATTAGAGAAGAACATAACTTTCAGGAAAGCCCTTTTAGAACAAAGTATTTCTTGTACGTCCACTCCAGATAATAATAATAATAATAATCCTTGCATACGATATAGCGCCTTATCATGTCTTCGAGACATCTCAAAGCAGTTCACAGAATGTACTGTGAAATGAATTGACTGTAGATTGTGTGGTCGAAACACACAGCAGAAGCCAATTGCGCACGTCAGTGTCCCACAAACAGTCAAGGATTGAGTGACCAAATTGTTATGATTAAGAAGGGATACAAGAGGAAACTGTTCATTCATGTAAATGCAAAACTCTGAACACTGCATGAACTCGAGTTGGGGATGTGTGGCTAGTTTAATGTAAATAGTACGCACCCAATTCATAGCTACTTTTACACTGATTTCCATGAAGGAGATCCAAAAAATCAATATGCTTCGCTTTAAGCTTCAGCCTCTTTGCTGCTTATTATGGTGCTGAGCTTCATCTCTGAAGACCGCTCGAATGATTTTACAGTACATTTGCCTACAAGTACTCAGTCACTACATTTGATGTTAAAATCCCATAAAGCTCTTTGAGGTGTCTCAATAATGAGATAACAAGATATATTAAAACGCGAGTTTTTTTTATTATTAAACATGATATGAAAAATTCAGCACTCTGCACGAGAAGTCAGGCTGGCAAAGCAAAGTAACTTGCCCGGAAAGCAAAGCACTCCACAAAGTAGGTAATATTCACAGCTTTGATGGGAATCTAGAAATGAACAAAGCATCCGTTTCCTGGTCATACAGTTACTCATGACCAATTTCATTCTTGTTATGGAATAATGAGATGAAATGAAATAATGAACTTGAAATGTTAGGTATCCTCAGCAGTGCGGATGGTACACAGCGATATATTGTACCACTTGCCATAAAGGGTGATCCTTCTGATAATATTCCACCTGGACCAAGGGACTTGTCGTTGTAGTTAGTTCTGAAATGGCTCAGTTTATTGTTCTCCATTAAGGAAATAGGGTGATCCAGACTTGGACTTCTCCATAACCACTGCACATTTTCTGTGAAATTAATAATCTAATAATATAATCCTTGCATTTGATATATGAACAAAATAATGCCTTGGCTCTGTGAATTATGTGAGATGTATTTAACAAGTTTGCGTTTGCCCACAAAATACAGTCACTACACCCCAGTAAATCCTATGAAGTGTTTGAGATATCTCCCCGATGTGAAAGGCACTATAGTATATCAAATTACAAGGATTATTTTTTATTATAACCTACAATTGATGCAGTACTGCACCAAAACTTATTTTTTCGTAATCAACTGGAACATACAATGCCCTGAAGTTAGATAAATGGTGTCCTTGAAGATACCTATCAAGGTTTGTAAGCATTTTTAGCTGCAGAAGAAAATCTATGTTGTAATTAACTATATTGTAAATTGATTCAAGAGAGCATAATTCAGTGAAAATAAACTCACAATAGCACAACCGTTAATCTCTCTATTTCATACAAATGTGATTTGTTAATTTGCCACAGCAATTATATTTTGATAAGTAAAGTATCAAAATTTAATCCATTGCCTCCTTTAAGGCATGGCTCAAGACCCTCCTTTTTGACCATGCCTTCAGCCATCCTCCTACCTCTCTGCTCTCCCTCATCCCCACCCTGGCCCCCCCCCACCCCGCTCAGGTCCTAATCCCCGACTGTTCAGCGCCTTGATACGTTCTCCCGACGTGAAAGGCGCTTTACAAATGCAATTTTGTTGTTGTGATAAATTAGATCCAATTAACATATTGCAATAATGCCAATAGCAAAACCGATACAACCTACACATTTTGTAGAAACAGCATTTACAGTTCATGAATAATTAAAGATTAATTCCTATATTTTGTTTCATATGCAGGAAAGGACAATAATAAAACATTAATAACAAAGCATATTGGCATAATCTAGTTAGATATTACTTCAAACCATCAACCTCTGAAAGGTTTTTTCTGGTATATCACTAACTCTGCTGACTGAATTTTCTTGATGTTTTTGAACTCTCCATTATAGATTAGAAGGTGCCAAAGCGACAGAATCTAGGCAGAGAGACGGGCATTTGGTAAAAAAAAAATTGGTCATTTTCAATCTACGACTGTCTGTGGGACATTGCTGTGCGCAATTGGCTGCCGTGTTCGCCCACAAACATACAGTCAATTCACTTTACAGTGTATTCTGTGAAGAGCTTTGGGACGTCCTCCCGACTTGAAAAGCGCTATATCAAATGCAAGGATTATTATTATTATTATATTATTATTGTTAGGGTCTCCAGCTAGAATTTTAACTGGTTGTCAGGGAATGAGCACCACTAAATGAATGACTTGCCCTGGTGAAGGGCATTTTTGGATCAAACCATCATTCAAACAGAAAGAACCACATAATTAACAAAAGCCTGTTGTGGGATCAGTTGTAAAAAAACAATGAGATAGAGCCAAAAGTTATCTATATTGGCTTAATTGATTACTGTTGGTTCTTCAGCCAGGCTTTAAAATTGAGTGCATCTTTCATGTAAATCTCTAGAAATGTTTTAACAGACAACAGGATCAAATTTGCAATATTCTTATGACAGGATTCCTTAATAAGGATTTCGATATGGATTCCCATTTAACTGTGGGAACGCCACTCCTTCTCCATCTTCAATTGTACCTGAAGACCTTCCTCTTCGACCGTGCTTATGATCAACTCCCCTTTCCCCTAGCTCGGCATCATGCTCCACCACTGACACGCGATCTGCGACCCTACCCTGCGTGAGGGGTGCTATATAAATGCAAATTGTTGTTGTTGTTTCTGCGGGCAGGGATTGGGGCTCAGTTGGGTGCAATCATTGACCAAAGTAATAAATAAATAATAATAATATTTCTTCCATTTGATTTAATACTTCATCACGTCTTCCATGCGTCTGAAAGCACTTCACAGAATATACCGTAAAGTGAATCGACTATATTTTATGCGCGAAGCATTCGGTGGATCACAATCTGATTTTGAATGGAGTTTCCTTGGGTCAGTGGAATTTCTAATGGAGTTCCTCAATAAAGAATCCGATTAAATTTATATTGCACTGCATATTGAGTCCCAAATAGTTGTTCATGAGAATAGAGCAGTTTGCTAACTATCAATGCACTAGTCTGTGTTTGATATTACAACCCAGAAACGTTTTTCTATGTTTATTTGACAGGATACGGGAATATTTCGCCCAGCACTGAAGGAGGCAAAATATTCTGCATTTTGTATGCAATATTCGGGATCCCTCTCTTCGGTTTTTTGCTGGCAGGCATTGGGGATCAGTTGGGCACAATCTTCGGAAAAAGTATTGCCAAAGTGGAGAGAGTGTTCAGAGTAAGTGTAAACACAGATACGATTTGTTGTAATTGCATTGCTCTGTATTTACAGTGAACGTTACCTATATAAGCACCTGTATGGACCATAATCAGGTAGAGACCTTCAATTTTGATGTGCTTGCAGTCACCTTACCCCTCCCTCTCCCTCTCCCCCTGACTTGGCGACAGACTCCACCACTGTCAAGGGTTCCGGGACTCTATTCGGCATGAAGGGTGCTATATAAACGCAAGTTGTTGTTGCTGTAGGTAATTCTCGAAATTTGATCCCATTAACAAAACCATCTCTCCAAACCCAATCTTTGGAAATGGAATCAAACTCACTATTGAGTTTGCATTTTCTCAAATTGTACACCTTATGTTCAGCTGCAGGGAGCTACAGTAGATTTCAGTTCAGAAAGGAGTTCTCTCTTTTTAGTTGCTAACTGAATCAAAGTAGTCCAATTTAGTTCCCAGTGGACAGAAGCCTAAAATGTAAAGATTGGCATTATTCCCAATTTTAGGGCAACCAATGCAATAACAATGAAAGATTAATATGTGCTTCACGCTAAGAGCAAACATTGTAATAAAAATTAATTTCTTTATGGTGAAATTGTAATTCTGCCTTTGAGTTTTCTCTACATGAAAGTGGCTGAAAGTTACCACTAGAATTGATTAATGCTACGTTTTTACTAATGATTTACTGTGAAGCCTGGAATGTTTAACTGTGGACAGAGGCAATGTGAATCATGCTGCCCTCTGATCCAGTCAGCGATCACCGAGAAAAGGCGAGTTTGGAGCAGTCTGGTTAAGGTTGATCAATGAATCAAATTGAGCTTTTCTCAGCCTATAGTTCATTGCAATTGCAAGAGGCCAGGTGGTCTTTTTGATAACCCAAGAGTTTTCAAGCCATCATATATTAATGTCATAAAGAGCTAATTGTGCGAGTGGATATTTAACATTAAGTGGGTCTCTTCCAAATCTGGAACTCTGCCCTTGTGCTAAGCTGTGCCTCAGCTGTTCATTTGATAACTGCCCGATGCGATATAATGAGCAGGAAGTTTAAATTAAACTTCCTTTTCCACATCGCTCTTCCATTAGTCGCTTCCAGCCGTATAAATCTAGCACAGTTGTACACTGGACACTAATGAGAGTTAACAGTTAACCTTTAGATCAGCTCAGAGCTATAAAATATGTGACATGGCCATTTACTGCTAAACAAACAACAGCATCTTGCATTTAAATAATGGTGGCGATGTGATAACGCTCTTCACATAGGTAGCATCTAAGTATTTAAATAAAGCTATTTGATTTGAAAAATGCAGAATAATACAATAGTTGTACAGAATAATAATAATGATCCTTGCATTTGATAAAGTGCTTATCACATCTTCGAGACGTCTCAAAGCGCTTCACAGGATATACTGTAAAGTGAATTGACTGTGTATTTTTATGGGTGAAATGTTGCAGCCAATTGCGCACAGCAGTGTCCCACAAACAGTCGTGGATTGAGTGACCAATTTATTTTTTTGAATGAATTATTACCCCCGGAAAACCGATCCGCTGATCGACTAACAACCGGGTTCCTACTTACCGCTAGGTAAACAGAGGCGTGTGGAGTAAGGAAACTTGCTTATAGCTTGTAGTCAATGTGTAGCAACAAAACATAAAATATTCTTATATTAATTCCTTAAATCGATGGTATTATAACAGATCTGCTCAATATCTTACACTCAGTGAATCAGATTACCTGAGTTGAATCCTCGGATCCCTTCTGATGGCAATGAGCTATTGATCTTCCCTGTAGTTCGAATTGTTTGATTTAAAGATGCCAAAGAATATATTTGCTGAATCTACGGCGATGAACCTCTGTTGTAGCTAAACATAGGATATGGTTAAGTCACCATTCTTTTTTTTTTGATGCCTTGCATTTACCCCCTCTCTCTGATAGCAACAAAATCAAAAGATTGAAGAGGAAACATGCATAACAAATCCTGTTTCCTAAGAGAGCATTTGACGTACATAGCAATATGGAGAGCTCATTCTTGTGGAGAATACCCAAGGGCAAAATTAGGCTTAACAGGAGGCTAGTGAGGAGAATACCGTGCCCTTGTCTCCAAGTTCTGCCATTGAGCCAGGGTGGCCAGTCATCAGCAGTGCCTTGGAGTACCACAGACCAGCCTGGCTCAGGAATTGGACTACCGAGACTGTCACAAGGGATTGACTCAACTTCAACATTTGGTTTCATTAGTTAAAGCGATTGTCCACCTGACGTGAAAGGTGCTATACAAAGGTAATTTTTTTGCTGTCTTAAACCTGGTCTGATTTTTTTTTCAGAAGAAGCAAGTGAGCCAAACCAAAATTCGAGTCATCTCCACAATCCTTTTCATTCTAGCGGGCTGCCTTGTCTTTGTGACTATCCCAGCATTTATTTTCAAGCACACGGAAGGTTGGACAACATTGGAAGCTCTCTATTTTGTTGTTATCACCTTAACAACTGTAGGATTTGGTGACTACGTAGCAGGTAAACAATGTGTTGACTTTGGGGAAATCACTTCCACTGTAAAGTTCACTACAATGAAATTACAATTGGCAATATTACAAGATGCTGAACTCATCACAACAAATTTACCTTTTAAAATCTCTGTTATGCCAACAAAGTAAATTTCCCCAGAAGAACAGTCGTAAAATATGATTAAAATATAGTATCAAAAGAAATATTGTTTATGTAAGTTTGCTTCATTCATTTACTTGAATAGCTGAATTCATATTTATTTCGATTATTTCCGATCCATTTAATGTGATTACAAAGGGGCTGAAGTTCTTTGGCATCATATGAAAGTCCTGTAGGTTACAGAACTCAGTTTCACTTTCAATCAGAGATATGGAGGCATAACCAAAGCAGCTATCAATGGTTGATAACATTAAAAATTCAAGGTTTGCAGGTTATTTCCCTTGTTAATTTATGGCACTTGGCTTATCATCATCAGTAAAATTGCAGAGCAGAACCAATAACCCTGTAATATCTGAATATTTCTATTTGTCTGGGAGAATTGCAATGAATTCTAACTATATGGGACTAGAATTATTACTTTGTTTGTCTCGATACAGGGAGTGAAATAGATCAAAGCTTTTAAGCATGATTTTGTTGGGACCAGATTGCTGGTAAATTACTGTATTAACTGTAGCTCATAAATCATTTATATATTTTTTCTGGCAGTGCATCACGACAATAACTTGGATCGTTTGCATGAAATATTTATGCAGATGTGAAAAGTCTACCAATGGATAGCCTGTGAAAGTCACTCTTCTGGAGATGGGACAGACAAACCCCTCTCTCCCCTCACACCCTCAATATAAATAGCATCCGCTTTCAGAAATATCTAAATCCATTATAAATATACCACAGAACTTCATGTTATTCAAATAGCTGCTGCCCTGGTGAACGGAGTGTGATATTTTTGTGTGATAATTCGCAACAGCATTTGAGGATTATTATTGATCTTGCCATTTCACTACGAGACCAGAAAATACATTTCTGATCGGCTATTCCTCTGCTCTTTTGAAAACACATTTTTTCCCCCCCGTTTAGCTTCAAAAACAGAACTTGATCGATTTTGTTGCAATCAAAATCCACTTTGATGGCAACATTTTAAAAAGACAATAACCAAGTAATCTCAATTGTCGCGTCACCACAAAAAGCGTAGCAAATGATTTAACTTGGACATGTTGTTGAGGTTGTCCAACTCAGCCGATAGCTTGGGATGAGCTCAAGTCACAGCCAGAAACCTGGGCCTTTGCAGACATTGTTTGCGCAGCTGGCAGCCTGAAAGCCCATGATTTGGAAATAATGAGAGTCCCGGCTGATCTTTGACAGGGAGAGCATTGTATTACACGCTATCCCCTGCGATTGTGGCATTAAGAAAGCCTGTGGAACATACTTTAAGATTCGTCACTCTTCTTACATCATGTCTTGTTTATTCTGCGATCGTTTTGTTAATTTGGAAAAGCGTTATTTTATTGCGGGGATAATGACGCGGGCAGGCAGTTAATAATAACTTAACTGTGGGCTGAGAGCCTGATGGGGCTTCTCCAAGCTCAGCCCAGCTCGTTTGTCAAGTCCACAGCATCACACGCACAGTGATGGCAGAATTAATTTGTTCACACATATGACAGGTGTAATTCGCGGGTCTTAGGCACTTGTGAATCTGTCGTCACCACTGTCCTACTTCCACTTGGCTTGCGAGATGTCTTGTCTCAGATTTATTCTTTTTTTAAAAAAAAAAATCTTTTTCTACCCATGTAAAAAAAAATGCAGAATTATATATTTTTTCGAAACCACCTCAGAGCGTAACAGAGCTTCTTCCTGTAGGAAGTCCAACTCTCGGTCAATATTTCAAATTGCAAAGTACTTGTGTGCGACTAGCCTTGTCATTAAATAGATTATATAACGCATATAAATCATATGTGAATGATTGAAGGAGCAGGTCGCATATAGAAGGAAGAAACTGGCACAGGTATCAATAAAATGTGAGAGGAAACTATAATGGCCACAAAACAGAAGGGCTTGTGGCCTATCTTTTAAGCCGGCAAAGCAACTATTTGTACTACAGAGGATCACAAAAATATTGTTACTGCAGTGAATATATATATTCCCTATTAAATTTTAGATTGAAAGCACTGATTTTCCCCAGGGGTGGCCCTGAGTTTGATGGCCTTGTGTCCGTTCGTTGCAAAGCAAATATCTGAACTAGCTAGCTCACTCATCCATACCGTCAACTAATGCTGTTCTCTATGTTCTTGAGCTGATTTCTTTTCAGTACTCACGGCATGACCATCGCTCACATTGTTCTGTGTTTCGGTCCAAAAAACCCAGTGCCCTGATTATAATATAATATAATCCTTGCATTTGATATAGCGCTTTTCACGTCGGGAGGACGTCCCAAAGCGCTTCACAGAACACACTGTAAAGTGAATTGACTGTATATTTGTGGGCAAACGCGGCAGCCAATTGCGCACAGCAATGTCCCACAAACAGTCGTAGATTGAAAATGACCAATTTATTATTGTTTTTGGTTTTGGAGGGATTATTTCCGACGTGAAGGGTGCCAGACAAGTGTAATTTGTTGTTCATTTTATGTTATAATTGTTATGATTGTTACTGCAGCTGTTGGGTAAAAAAGGGTGACTAAAACTTGTTGAACAGTGAAAATTAACCTGCAGTGTTCCAGTACAAATGCATGATAAAAAGCCATTTAAAAAAATGACGTCTTTATAAAATATGTACACTTTGCTCTGTGTGACCTTTAACTCAGGTGGAGACATAGATATCCATTACCGAGAATGGTATAAACCCTTAGTTTGGTTCTGGATTCTAGTGGGTCTTGCCTACTTTGCAGCAGTCCTCAGCATGATCGGAGACTGGCTCCGTGTGATATCCAAGAAAACCAAGGAAGAGGTAGGACGCCACTCTTAATGTTGGAAAAAACATTGTAAGATTGACATACTAAATTGGTAATGCAAACAAAACTAAAGTAAAACTGAGCTTGCTGCAGTGTTTTAAATAACTGTGGTTGATTCAATAACGTTGTAAAGTTAACTTACCAAAGGAGAGTACGTCCCTCATAAGACCCCTGTCATCCCTTGTTGCACATTAATAATAATAATAATAATCCTTGCATTTGACATAGCACCTTATCACTTCTTTGAGACGTCTCAAAACATTTCACAGAACGTACTGTAAAGTGGATTTACTGTTATTTGTGGGGGAAATGCTATTGGATTTGAGGATGCTGAATAAATATATAAATAATAATATAACAACACCTCTTTCACTTGTGGGACCTGGGTTCAAATCAGCCTAGACAAAAGAAATTAAACTCTCTTCCTTCCAATTGGAGTTACGAGATGATCATTATCCGTTCACACAGTCTCAATTTAAATCCTCGGAGACGTAAGCCCAGAGGAAACTGTTTTCCTACAGTAGTTAGTACAGATGGCACTCATTAACATTGTTTTTTTTCTTTGGTGACAGAGATCACATTATTAATACTTTGCTTTGATCAGAAATTAATTACTTTTCCTATAGTATTTGTCACAATATTATTCCTATAAGTTTTAATTATCATTTTAAATACCAAGGAGGTAAAAAAACACAGATTGTGATATTATCACCGGTGATATTACCACATGCTGCAGTTTTCCATCAATGCATGCAAAGAGCAAGGGAAAGCTCCATTACACAGAGTAATGAAGTAAATTGATTCAAATATGTGCTAAGTTTCTACAAATAAATCAGTTAAGATGTTTTTGGCTCTTTGCTTCACTGGTGTTTTCTTGCATGTTGGTTGGGAATTTGTCAATAAGGAAATTCTTCAGGATGATTCCTCACTTGTCAGGAGATTTACAATGAGTGAGAACATCGTGTTATCTGCTGCTCTGACTCTGCCAGGATTAGGATTATAATAGGATTTACCAACAACAAGAGAATTAACTCTCCCCCTCCTCCGCTCCCCCACTTCTTAAAACTAAGTATCTCCAGCAAATGCTAGAACTTTTGAACTCTGCTTCAAGTATCACTGCTTTAAATGTAATAACTGTGGTTGGTTCAATAATGTTGTGAAGTTAGCATACCGAAAGGGAGCCCTTGTTGCATGTCCAAAATAGAGCATTTGCAGATGCTTAGTTTTATATTTAAGACATGTGAGGAGGGGAGTGGTGGTGGGGAGATAGAGCATTGGAGTTGATCAGCCAGGAACAGACTCAAGGCACTGAATGGCCTACACCTGTTCCTACGTATTTGCTAGATATTTAGTTTTATATCTGCTTTACGTCTGCGTTAAAAAATAAACCTCACTTGCTGTGTGCTTGGCAGGTCGGGGAGATCAAGGCTCACGCTGTTGAATGGAAAGCAAACGTACAGGCAGAGTTCAGGGAGACACGGAGGCGGCTGAGTGTGGAGATTCACGATAAGCTCCAGAGAGCAGCGACCATCCGGAACATGGAGCGGAGAAGGCTTGGCTTGGACCAGCGAGCGCACTCCCTGGACATGCTCTCCCCTGAGAAACGCTTGGCGTTTGCCGGGCTGGAGACGGGCCAGTTCAAAACCTCGTCTCAAGAGAGCATCGATGGCAAACCGAACAATCTGCAGCATAAGGAGCAGCAGTACAACGAACACATGCAAGGATCGTCAGAAGACAACATCTACAATAAATTTGGATTGTCAGTGAGAGTGGCCAAGAGGTTCAAAAACAAGGAACTGAAGAAAGAGATACCAGAGGATGTCAGGAAAATTTATGAAACGTTTGCCAATGGTACTTACACTCTGGACGAGGAGAACAAGGAACAGGAGACGGAGAAAGAGTGTAACATGGGTGTCCCAGCAATAACAAATTATATTCAGCACCCGGAAGATGACAGAATGTCCAATGCAACCAAAAATCCAGAGGATAGAAAATTAATCGAGAAAAAGATATGAGATAGGAAATATCTTTCATATCAGATCCGAAAGAAACACTTGGTTAAACAATGCAGAAGATTGTTTTGCAGAGGGTTTTGTTTTTAAATTGCTGGACATGTGCCTTATTATAATTAACAGAAAAAAATCAATGGGAGATCATACATTTCACATGTGCATGATCTACACAAACCTTTTCAGTGGATTTATTGTGCCCCCAATGATATAAGTTGATGTACCAAATATCTTACACGTCAGCTTGCGATTAATCAGTTTTTTGATCTGTGGGAATGTGTTTGAAGTCTAACATAATGTAAATGTGGACCAAAATGAACAAAAAAACCCAGTGCCAGTACCAATGCAGTATACCTTGCTTAAGGAAGAAGAGGGTAGTTCAATGATATGATAATCAGAAGCGCCAAGCAAGCTCCGTGGATGATCATTGCTGCGATGATTCCGACTTCAATGAATTCATTGTGACGGATGGATGTCAAACATTTCTAAACAAACATTTGTTGTAGGGGATCTTGCTCTTTTTAAAAAAAAGAGCAGTTTTTGAGCATTTACTCAACACCTTCTGCGTGAACTCTTTCAAAAATCACAAGGTCGTATTTCTGATACATCGAGTAAGAATTCTGCGGCAGATTAATGCCTTTCCAGAATTGTTGGAGACTCACTTAACAGAGACTGAGGTGTGCATGCCCATAACTTTCTAAGTTTACTACTAAGATTTCTAGGACTGGTCTTGATGATTATTGATTGCACAGGGATCTGAGGGCTCCCTCGGTTCCTGCTTTTACAACATTTCCTACATTAGGTTTTAAAAAAAAATTGGGTGTTTGGGGACTAATATAACGCAAGAAGTAAGTAATACATCAAAAAAAAAGAAAGCATGTTCGTGTCTTTATCTATGATCATTCTCTTCTTGTCTGTGATCTGCGATTCATTTACAGTTAATTCGTAAATGCTTATTGAAAAATGGCATCAATAGAATTAAGACAGAGCCTGGTAAACGAATATTTTTGATCCATGATTTGCCATTTTTGTTATTCCCACATCATTCAAGGCTGGTGTTTGAGCCCTCTCTGCCCTCTCTTTATGTTGGGTTTCTGGTTGTCCTTCAACTGAAGAGGGTGGACAGACAAATCAGGCACTTAACACAGCTCCCTACAGGGGATCAAGATGGACTAAAAGCAGATTCACCCACTTTAGTCAGGCACTCTTTTGAAGAGTCTCAAACTGAGTGTGTGCGGATGGAAAGATCCACACTGTTTGTAACCTGATAGATTTATTTGAGATATCGCTGAAATTCGTGCCTGCAACCATAACACCTTGAAGGGAGTAACTCAATTGCTGCTAAACATGAAATATGTGTTCTTTACAAAGTGGGAAATCAAGAAGTATTCCAAGCATTGGAATTGGTAGAACATCACTAGGCTCAGTGACAAGGCTTTCCGGGTGACGGGTTCCTGATGAAGTTTTTCTAGCAGAGATCCCCGTCGGCATCTTTCTCTATTACTGTGAAGTTGCATAATTATTTTTTATTAAACAAAAAAACCTCAAGAACTTTGAGATGTTTTTTTTCTTTCCTTGAGTCTTTGAGTGATGATGTCGTTTGATGATTGAGGCTGACTGAATACAACTTGTAGATCGCTTCACGACACATCACCAATTAAAGTGGTCGTTATCTTATCTACAGCCAGGTTGCTTGAGTTACTGTCAGTACTGTACAGTGATTTGAGTGGAAAAATGTGCCAAAATGGCAAAATCTTGAGTGGAAAATAATGTTTGTTCTGTTATGCCAAAGGGAATGTGTCACTTCAAGTGCTATGCAAGTTCTTAGTGCAGAACTGATGCAGTTTTTGTTTAACAAAACTATTCACACCGCAATTCTGTTAAAAAACAAACCAAAAGTAAAGGAACGAACTTGCCTCTCAGCCCCCACCCTTTGGAACTCCATCCCACATTCGCTTCACCTCGCTCCCTCCCTCACCTCCTTCAAGGCACATCTCAAGACCCTCCTCTTCGACTGCACCTTCAACCAACCTCCTACCCTCCCTGCCTTCCACCCTCCCTGATCCCATCCCCCTGCTCGGGTTCAAATCCCTGACTGTTCAGCGCCTTGGTATATCCACCCGACGTGAAAGGCGATAAACAAATGTAATTTTGTATTGTATCTTATAGCACCTTATAATATCTCAAAAACACTGCAGTTGTGACGACTGTCAAGTTAGTGACTACTTTTGTGAAAAAAATGTGACAGCCATTTGTGGCAGCAGTGCCCCACAAACATCCATGAGGTCAATGACCAATTAATCTGGAAAGTGGTGAACAAGCAACTGGGAGATAATCCCTTCTCTGTTCAACTGTTGCATTTGTAGGCGAACCTGACAGACAATTTCTGGCTGTTTACAGGTGCAGAAGATGAATCCACTGAATTAAATAATAATAATAATAATCCTTGCATTTGATATAGCGCTTTTCACGTCTTCTAGACGTCCCAAAGCGCTTCACAGAATATACTGTAAAGTGAACTGACTGTATATTTGTGGGCGAACGCAGCAGCCAATTGCGCACAGCAATGTCCCACAGACAGTCGTGGATTGAAATGACCAATTTATTATTGTTTTTGGTTTTGGAGGGATTATTATTAGGCTCTGTGTGGAGTAAGGAAACTTGCCCAAGGTTTCGCCCTCTGCCTGGAATTGAACTCAGGTCTCTCACTTGCAAAGGGAGTGCTCTAACCACTGAGCTACAGGACTCCACAAGATTCACGCAAAATACACAGTCACTGATCTTCACAGTAAATCCTGTGAGATGCTTTGTAACTGCTTTCCGATATGAAAGGCATTCATGAAATCAAGGATTATTATATTATTAATGAATCAGATCAACTCTGAGATTATCTTATTGCCTTCTGCCCCCATCGGGCTACTTATTGGGGCTCCAATACATATTTGTAAGTGGATTAGGCCATCTAAAATATTAACCTGGATTAAAAGAAAGAGATTGCATTACCCAGACTATTGCTCATACCCTTAATGAAGGGTGGAAAGGGGAAAAAAAGGAGCTGTGCTGAATAAACTCGATCCAGTCTCTATACTTTCGTCTTTTCTATTTCGCACTCCTAATTAAATTAGCTCCGCCGACTTGTGTTTTGACAAGAACTAATCTTTGGAGTTAATCTGTGTGTTTTCAAGTAAGTCACCGAACAATCTTTTGTACAAAAGCAAGTCAGACTTCAGTCGCTGGGTTCTCTTTGCGAGTGGGTGGTTCAAGCCCTTGTGACTCAGAAGCCAAAGTATGGAGTTCCGTATTTATTCCATTGATACAGAATTTCGGAGAACCCCCAATAATCCTCCCAATAAAATTGGTCACTCACTCCACAGCTGTCTGTGGGATATCGCTGTGTGCAATGGGGGTCTCGCAAAATACACAATCAATTCACTTTGCAGTTTATCCTGTGAAGCGCTTGGAGATGTCTTGATGTGTTAAAGCACTACATCAAATGTAAGGATTATTATTATTAATGTGCTTCACAGGATCCACTGTGAAGTGTAGTGACTGTATTTTGTATGCAAACACAGTAGGCTATCTGTGCAGAGCGAAGTTCCACAAACTGCCATGACGTCAATGATCAATAGTTGCAAAATCTATGGATTTTACCTAAACCAAGAGAATTTGCTGTTCCTTTATACTCATGATATCAGAGTTAAAATGGCAGACTTGGAGAACTTATATCAAATGCAAGGATTATTATTTTTATTATCTTAGCTCAATTGTAAGGGTAGGAATATTCTGTCGGCTGAAATGCAATGTTTCAGGAATGTTGCATTTGACCACAGGCTCTAAAAAAATTTTTTTAAAATAGATTTTACAAAACATATTTTGCAATGAAAGGTTAAATAATAATAATAAAATAATAATAATAATCCTTGCATTTGATATAGCGCTTTTCACATCTTCTAGACATCCCAAAGTGCTTCACAGAATATACTGTAAAGTGAATTGACTGTATACTTGTGGGCGAACGCGGCAGCCAATTGCGCACAGCAATGTCCCACAAACAGTCATGGATTGAAAATGACCAATTTATTATTGTTTTGTTTTTTTGGAGGGATTATTATTAGGCTCTGCGTGGAATAAGGAAACTTGCCCAAGGTTTGGCCCTGACCTGCCTGGAATTGAACTCAGGTCTCTCACTTGCAAAGCGAGTGCTCTAACCACTGATATTAGGATATTAGGAAAATGACCCGTCTCTGGCTCCCTCTATTTTCTCGCTTTTCTATTTGTTTTCCCTTCCGACACTAACCAATAAATCTCAATCAGCTGAATCCTGATAAAAATTCCAGTATCGTGTAGATCCGTCTCACCAGAGGTACCTTTCCCTACTGTGTGCCTCATGGTTGCTTCCTCACAAACAACCTGAGCATCTGATGCAGGGAAGAAAGGGTGACTGAGCAATATAACTTGCCCAGCAAGACGTCCTTCCTGCTCTCTCTCACACACATTAAAATAATAAGATGTTAATAGCGCAGAAGGAAGCCATTTAGCCCACTGTGCCCCTTGGTGTTGGCTCCCCTGCTCGAGCTTTTTATTTTAGAACAGAAATAGATAGAGTGCCAGCGACTGAAAGGAAATGACAGTCGCCTTGTTGCTGTGACTCACGTTCTTCCATACCTGCTGAAGAGGAGACGTGCTCCAACAGGAGCATCTGCTTTCTGCTTTGTTTCTCGGAAACAACAACAAATTACATTACTATAGGGTCTTTCCCCAAAGTTCTGAGTCACAAAGAAAATCACACACACACAAAATTAAGATGAGTTGATCATGTATAATCAAATATTATACGTGATATATATGATATATATATGATCATGTATATATATGTATATATCAAATATGCAGTCAATTCACTTTACAGCCTATTCTGTGAAGTGCTTTGAGACATCTAGAAGACATGAAAAGCGCTATATCAAATGCAAGGATTATTATCATTATCATTATTATTATTATTATTATTACAAGTGCACAGACAGCATTTAAGCGCTCCGAGACACCGTTCGGCGTGAAGGGGGCTTTACAAATGCAAGTTGTTGTTGTATTGTCCGCAATAACCACAGGCTGTGTTCAGTTCTCACATACTAATCCTATCTAAATCTATTGCAGGTTGCGTTTTCATTGCCCTTGAGGACATTTCACCACTTTTACATCTTTTTTTTTAAAAGAAAATAACTTTTTTTTTAACATACACTTTTTAAAATTATTCTCCTATATTTCCTGTTTCCTTTAAGTCTTTAAAATCATTGGTGCGTTTCCTTTGCGCTGTTCCGACTTGTGGAGGATCAAAATTGTAACGAAAGAAAACAAATAGACGTTAATATTGCAAATATTATTATATTATTATCCTTATTATAGACCAAAGCTTCAAAAGTGAAGTGTTTCATCATTCCAGAGAGAAAAAACAAACACCGAAGTGTGCATCGGAATACTTCAGGCATTGGCTGCGATAAAACATAGATTGCCTGTTTTAGCTCAGCCTGTTGCAAAACATTGATTTTGGAAGGCCTTTTCGTAACCATAGAAACTAAAGGCCACGTTTGAGAAACCGACGGTTTTAACCTTTAAAACATAAAGGGACCTGAGAGCCCTGGTGGAAATGCTCCGCCGGGGTTTGTCAGGCTTCCCAAGCTACGCCGGCACAATACCTTTACTTACCTTCAACCAGAATTCTGAGATCGATCGCGATGCTTCTGAAGTGCCTGCAGATATACCCGGATACATCAGCAGACTGGGGTGCGGTGGGAGCACATTAAGATGCAGATAAATTGAACAATCTGACAAAAGGGGAATTTAATAATAATTATCCTTGCATTTGATATAGTGCCTCAACACGTCTTCGAGACGTCTCAAAGCGCTTCACAGGATATGCTGTAAAGTGGATTGACTGTATATTTTGTGGGTGAAACACGGCAGGTGAATTGCACATCTTTACTGTGAGTGACCCC